TCACTGCTCACTCAGTCCCAAGCTTCCCCAGCTGGGACAATCTCTGCAGCGCAGTGGGGGAACCCATGGCCTCACGCCCTCCACCACCAATGGATCCGTGGGGTGCAGCCCTCTCCAGGCCTTGGAAGGGCCGAGATGGCTCCCCCATCGCAAGTTTGGGGGCGTCCCCGCCTAGCCCCAGAGCAGCACCGGCCCTGCTTTCCAGGCCACCCGGCTGCTGGGCTCCTACTTCCCAAGAGCCCGAGCTGTGTGTGCTGATCAGCTGTTGCGGGGCAGCCCCCTGCACCCCCACACCAGGGACACTCGGAGCACCCTCTGCTACCTTCTGTGGCAGCTGCACTGGCTGGGGGGGCTCCAGAGCCGGGCAGGGGTGTCTGAGAAGCTCACCCCCCGGGAGGGGGCTCTCCATGAACACCCGCTGAACTGCAGCCGGATCTGGAGGGGGTGGTGATGTGACTCTGGGCCACTCCCAAGCTCGCTCGTGCCTCACTTCCAAACGCTCGGCCTGGGCCCTGGCAGGTGCCCGGAGGCTGCAGACTGCGGGGGCAGAGTCAGGGACGAGGGGCTCGCTTACATTCCTGTTCCTGGGCCCTGGAGAAAGCCCACACACGCCCCAGAACCGCCTGCCACCGGCACTCCACGCCCAGCTCCCTGCTCTTCTCAGAACAGGCCACTTCCCTGTTCGTGGGTGTGAGCGAACACATTTCAGACAAAGACACTGACACCCTGCACCTCTCAGTCCCGGGGCTGAGATCACAGCTGGTTGCCCCATCTATGGGGGTGTCTTCCTGCTGGGGTTTTGACACTGTCAGCCCTGCCCCTTGCTTCCCCTGGGGCTCCAGAGCTCTGGCCGCAGGTTCTAATATGTGCGTTTGAAGCTACACGTTTCCCTCTGGGCGCTGCTTTGGCTGCATCCTACACGCAGCTGCCTGTGTTGCATCTTCGTTGCATTCCAGACACTTCCAGGCTCGCCCGAGGCTTCTGTTGGAGCTGGGCTGTCTGGAATGTGCTGTTTCTCTGGGCAGCCCTGACTTTCCGCGGCCTGTTTGCAGGTCTCATGCTCGGATGCTGGAGAGCCCGTTTGTGGGATTCCGAGTCTCTGGCGCGGGCTCCGGTCTCGCGCAGGGTCAGGACGCGGTCTGTCTTCCCGCGGCGACTGTGCAGGCCGCCGCGGCCGGGCCTCCCGAGGTCCTGTTAAGGCTCTAGCTGGACCCAGGGCTGAGTGGTCGTCCCCACCCCACACTCGCGAGCACAACCCCCCGCCCCTGCCCCACCGGCTCCCAGAGCCCAAGGACGGCCCCTCCTCCCGGTGCTTTCGAGGTACATTTATTTCAAGATCAGGCTCAGCAGCACCCATATCCAACCTGATCAAATCTGAACATTTTCCCTCTCTTTGCCCAGGAGTTTTCCTCTTTCCACCTAATAAATAAAACTTAAAGATGTAACAGTGGAGTCTGCGAGCTGTCCCGGCCCCAGCCTCCGCCGCCTGCCACGAGCCTGGGTGGGGCTCCCCAGACTCCCTGCAGCCTTGGGGTGGACGCGTATCCACATGGTCTCCTCTCACCCTCCAGCTGCCCGTGGGGGCGGCCGAGGCGGGGCAGCCTGGGCCCGGCGCTCTCCCCTGGCAGGGCAGCCTGGGCCCGGCTCTCTCCCCTGGCAGGGCAGCCTGGGCCCGGCTCTCGCTGAGCGCCTGCCTGTCACGCGGGGCCTCCTGGGCTCTGTGCTCTGAACTGCGTCCAGTGCCCTCGAGGCCTCGCCAGCCCGAGTGTGTCACTGTCCACCAGTTTTAGCTGGGCTAGAGCGAGCTCCAGAGCGCGGGCCGGGCCCTCAGCTCCCCAGGGGCCACTCCGGCCCCCCTCGGCTCCGAGGGGCCAGGCAGACCTTGGCTCCCTCGGCAGCTGGTGACTTCTGTCCGCCGTCTTGCGGCGCCTCTTGCTGGGAACGTAAGGGCTTCGTCGCCGCCGCACCTCTCTGCTCACACGGCTCTCCTGGGCCCCTCGGCGCACCTGTTTCCAGCGGCCTGTGCTCGGGTTTTCCACCTCGTGGCACCCCCTGCTCCTCTGGCTTCAGCCTCCGGGGCCCCCTCGGCGGTTTATCTGATCACTCTGGTCCGAACATGGCCTCAGTCTCCCTCAGCCAAGAAAAGGAAACCAAGTTTGGGGAAAAGGAAAGGAGTTGAATTTGTCGACCAACGAGTAGGGCGGCAGACTCACGTCTGACAGACCCCGTCCTGCTCTGGGCAGAGGGCAGGGGTGTTTCCACGAAGGGAAAATAGGGGACATGGACTAGGGGCCGGGGAGATGCCAGCCTGCCTTTTTAACTCCCTTCTCCTGGGAGCGCAAGCAGACACACCTGCCCGACAAGGGGAGATTGCAGGAAATACCGGAAAGACCAACTTGTTAATGTTTATCTGGGAGACTGGTCCTCTGCGACTGCGTCGCTTCCCTGGCCTCTTCGTTCCCCTTTGATTGTAGGAAATGTGCAGCTGAGCCCCCCCAGCCCTCCCACCTCTCAAGTCCAGTGTGCTCAGGACACCCCCAAAACTGAGACTCTGAGTCCACTAAGTGGCTTTACACTTACTCTTTAAGTCAAAAGGTGTTTTCACTGCAGAAAATTTCACACGGGGGCCTTCCTGGTGGCGCAGGGGTTAAAGCACGATCAAGCTGTCGCCAGCCCCTGCAGCCTGAGTCCAGCCCCGGCCAGGGGTGACCCACAGGGCGCAGCAGACCTCTCCTATCTCCCGCTGCTCCCCTCAGCAGTGGATTTCAGTGGATCCGCCTGTTCTGCTCCCCACTCTGTCTCTGGGGAGTCCTCTCACCACCCGCACATCTGGCCTGCACCCCAGCTCTTGTGTGCATGAATAAATAAATCTTTAAAAAATAAAATTTCACATGGATACAAAGGTTGTGGACCAGCTTTGTGACCGCACCTCCCGGGCTGCTGGGCCAGACCCCTCTCCTTGGCCGCCCGCCCCTGCCCCCACCCGGGTTATCTGGCCGTGACGGAGGAGAGCAGAAGCGGGAAAGGAGACTCACAGTCAGGAGCTGCCGCGCCCGGGTGCGTGACAGACGCACCAGTAACCAAGCGCTGGAAAATCAGAGCCTCAGGCACCAGGGCCTCGGTCAGGAGGCTCCAGACCCTGGCGGGGCTCAGCTGCTGTGGGGGTGTCAAGGGCTCAGACCTGAAGGGGAAGATGGAGATTAGGGAACAAACTGTCCACCCACAGGATGAGCCCTCTCTTCCCAAAGAAGATGGTAAAACCCAACGCTGCCCCCACAAAGGGGCCGCCGTCCCTCTGCCCGCCTGTGCCCGTGCAGGGCCTGTCACCCACTCTCTCCCTCCGCAGGGCAGCGGCCTCCTGCCCGCCCGTGCCCTGCACCTGCCCGGGCGTCTCCTCACAGACCCCCTCAGCGGAGGCCGCTCCCCTCGAGGCCGCCTGCCGGCAGCCATGCAGCCTCTCAGCAGCGGGGCCGCTGGGAGGGGAGCTCTGGGGACACCTTCCCAGAGGGAACCCAAGGACCCCGCTCTCAAGCCCACTGACCACAAACACGACACAGAAGGAAGCCCCAGCGCCCTGCGCGGCACCTCACATCTCGGCGCGTGACTGAGCGCCGGGTCCCCTGAAGGAGAGCAGCACCCTCCGCCGCCTCAGACTGGTGGTTGCAGCTGCCTGAGCTACGGCCCCGCCCTCGCCTGGGGCTCACGTCAGTGTCTGTCCCGCGGGTCTCCTGCAGCCTGGGCGTGCGCCTGGCAGCCCTGTGGGCACCCCCTGCCTCCATAGCACCCCCAGAGCGCCCCCGCCCTGGCTTCCCATTAAGCGGGTAGTTCGGGCTACACTCGGGTGGCTGTGGGCCCCACAGAGGTGCCGTCTGTGTCCCGTCTGTCCTCCGCTGCCCGGCTCTCACGCCCTCCGGCCACTCCCTCGCGGGGACGCGCCGCTCTGCGGGTCCACGGCCAGCGGCAGCGGCTGCTCTATCTGCGGTCATCGCGTGGTGCTCTCTGGAGCAGTCCTGTAGAGGAGGCCGGCGTGAGCCAAGATCATTTCATTGCCCTGCGACCCCAGGGCCGGAAAGAAGGAAACAGCCACCTCATCTGACCTTCTCGCGGAGGTCTGTGTTAGCAGGCAGAGCACCCGCGGGTGACCTGCCCGGGCAGCGGCCACTGCCCCGGCGCCGAGTCCCGGCCAGGAGCCAGAGCGCTGGGGGACACAGAGGGGGGGCCGCCAGAGGGGAGGGGCCCCCGCAGAGCCCCAGGGGTCTGAAGAGGAGCCGCGGCAGTTCTCCACGTGGGCGCTGCGCTGGGACCGGGCAGTCTTCCCCTGGGTCCGCGTCTCCTTGTCCTTGACCCCACGGACTATTCTGGAACACCTGAAATCATCCCTGACATCTGAACTGTGTTTTTTATTCACAATCCTTTGTGTTTTATGTCCCTCACCTTTAAAAAGTTTTGTCCTATTTTCTTTTTTTCAGATGCGCAGGTCCTGCTTCACTCCTCAGGAGAGCTGTCAGTTATTGTCACACACAAAATTAAATATTGATCTTTGCTACGACAACGTCCACTTGGGCATGTCTGTCTCTCCCACGAGCAAGACGGAAGCAGCGGCCTGCATGGCCCCCCGACCCACCAGCGGTCTTGTTTCAGGTCGCCAGCAGTCCTACCAGCAGCTTACAGCCGGTCGGCGCTGTCTGAATCCCCTGACTTGTTTCTTCGCTCTCCTGGGCATCACCTAGCGTTGGTGTTGCTGTTCGCCAGCGTCCACGGGGGCGTCCTGCCCGTGTCCACGGGAGCGCCCCGCCTGGATTTGCTCACCTGTTTCTGGGACGGTGACACCTCGGGGCCCACGTGGCCCCGCGAGGCCTGGGTCTTGTCTCCGTGGCTGCAGTCAGTGCCCGCCCTGTCCTCCCTCTGCCACGGCCTGGCCCTGCTCCCCCCACACCGTGCGCACGGAGCGGCACGGCCCCGGCCTGAGGGTCTCCCCCTCACTGCTCCACACCCCGCACAGGCAGAGGCCACGTGTGCTGCTCACTACTTCCTCCCACGGCTGAGAGGAAGTGCTCGTCTTCCCCCATCGGGGTCTTGGCGTCTCCCAGGCGGCCCGCGCACCAGCCCAGCAGGGAGGAGCAGCCCCCAAGCCCACAGCCCAGCCAGACCCCGCCAGGGCTCCACGGCATCCGGGGGTGAGTGGCAGGACCCCCTGGGTCCAGGCTGTCCTGCGAAGGGGAACTTCAGCCTAAGGCTCTCTCCCGGGGTGTGCCTGCTGCCATCCAAGGGAAGACGCGCCTCTCGCCTGGAGGCCCCGCAGCCCTGGTCTGTGTCGCCTGGTCAGCTGCTCCAGGCCACCTGCCCACTGAAATCCAGGCATGGGTGGGGCGGGGGAGCATGCCCACCTGGCAGCGGAACAGAGCCTTGGGGGCGCCTGTGACTGGGGGCCAGGACCCAGCATGGAGGGAGGATGTGGCCCAACCCCAGGCCCAGCCCCCAAGGCCAAGTTCTCTGGATGAGCCGCCTGCAGGGCCAACACAGCCAGGAGGGGTTGGGAGGGAGCGAGGCCCGGCTGAGAGGCACAGCCCTATGTGGGCTGTGTGGGGGTTCCAGGCCCCCTGATGCCTACTCCCCCGTCCCCGATGCGCGCTCCTGCTGGTCATGGTTGGCTCCCCTGAGCAGCGGTGTGTGAAAGGCCCTCTGTGTAGTGTGCGTGAGTGTGTGTGTGCATGTGTGTGTGTGCGTGGCATGTGTACGTGCGGGCTCACACTTTAGGTGGAGTGTCCATCACTTTTCTCAGAAAGTCCTGAAGTTTCACAAGGGCTGGTGTAATGGGGGCAAAGCACGGGGTGACCCTGAGCTTCAGGGACACCGGCTCGTGTGACTCCCGGAACCAGATGCCTGCAGGCCTGTCCCGAAGCGTCCTGGGGTTGGGGGACTGAAACCATACCCTTGAACTCCGGGGTCCACCTAGATCCTTCTGGAAACTGGCCACACTCTCCTGCCTTGTCCCCACCTCCCTGGCACCTGCCCCTACTTCCTTCCCGGACCTAGGTACTGGGCCCACACCGCTGGCCCCACCAGGCTTCCGTGCCTCTGGGGGGCTGCGCCCAGACCTCCTCCTTCAAGGGTACCTCAGGCTCTGGCTGCGAGGGGGAGGGCAGTCCTGAAGGGGGTGGGTAGAGGGGCCAGCACCTGCGTGAGGGAGGACGCCGCATGGGTGGGCTCAGAGGGGCGGCGGGATCCTGGGGGTTGGGCCGAGAGAGCCGCCAAGAAACGGCCAAGGCCACTCGGCCCCTGCAGCCTTCCGAGGACTGTACATTTAAAACCACTCCCCCCACCAGCATCTGCGCGGGCTGGTGCCCCAACCCCCACCCCACCTCAAAGAGCAAGGAGCCCCCTCCCCCTTAGGGCCTCAGACTGAGGTCCCGGTGCCACTGCCGGGGCCCGGGGCCCGGGGCCCGGGGCCGAGCCCATGCCTGGGCACAGTGTCCCAAGCAGGACCACGGGGCCAGGGCTGTGGACGCCTGAGCTCCAGGGACCTGGCTGGTGACGGGGCCGCGCTGGCCGGCCTGGGCCCAGGGGCTCTCTGTGGGCTCAGGGGCCAAGGCTGCCGGTGCAGGCGCGGGAAGGGGCTCGGCCGGCCACGCTCAGCGGGAGGCACTTGCTGCAGCAGCCAGACCCCTCTGGGCCGGGGTCCAGCGAGAGCCAGGCGGGGTCCCTGACCACAGCTGCTGCCTGCTGGCACCTTGCCCGCACAGCAGGTCCAGGGAAGGTTCTGGTTACTGCCCCAGGGCTTGTGGGGAGAAGCCCCAGACAGCCCCTCCCTGGCAGCAGCGTGGGGTGAGTGCAGGACCAGGCCCCTCCTGGCACAGGAAGGGGGGGCCAGCCAGGCGCAGGTCCAGCTGACTCTCTAAGCAAGTGCTGAATTCAAAACCACTTCCCTGGGGGTGGAGGTGTGGGGACAGGCCGGGGCCACGAGCCACTGCGTGGGGGAAGGGCCTCGGGCACCTGCGGTGGGGAGGGGCCCCAGCCCTGGCAGCTCTGCGTGGACAAGCCTCACCTGGTGCGCACCTGCCCCTAGGGTCAGCTCCGCCAGGGCCCCGGGGCGCTAGCTGCGGAGGGCATGGCTGACCCGAGGGCGTGGGGGGCCTGATGACCCCACTCTGAGGACCCCGTCGCACCGAGATGCCCACATGGGCAGCCACTGACTGCCCAGGCACGTCTCAAAGGCGTCCTGGACTCTGCACGGGCCTGGCCCCGGCGCCCAGCACCTGAGTGGGGCCAGCTCCATGGCCAGGCGCCACCTGGTTGGGCGAGGCCCACGGCTGCACGGAGGCCCCGCATGAACTTCAGGCTCATCCAGGCAGGCCCTGGGCAGCAGCGTCCAGAGGAGGATTGGAGCAAGTGTCCGGACAGCAGGGCCCGGCTGTGAATTCACATACAGCCTCGGCTCTAAGAGAGGCTCGGTGGCCTGGGGTGATCTGCCGTCGGGCTCAGGGCCGGGAGCGTGTCCACGTGGGGCCAGGCTGACCTGGGCTCCGACCTGACCGTGTGGCTTGGCCGGGGCACTGACCCCTCGGAGCCAGCAGTGGAGCGGGGAGAGGCCCCGTGCTTCCCAGCCCCCCCCCCCCCCCGCACTCCCTGGCACCTCACCCCACCCCCGCCACACGGCCAAGGCAAACTCCGGGCAGCGCGTGTGGCCAGGCTGCAGGGGACTGTAGGCGATGCCCGACCTGTTGCTCTGGGGCCTGGAGTCCCGGTGACCGCCCAGTCGCACCCTCCTGCTGACCGAGCCCCGAGGGTGGGTGTGCCAGGCACCCCCCGCCGCAGCGCCCCCCCTCCCCGGGCTCACCGCAGCGTTTCCTGTTGGCAGAGGATGTGGGGCCAGGGCCTGGGCCCTCATATCTGGCCAGTTTGAGGTACAGAGACTCTGCTCGCTTGAGGCCTGACCCCGTGGCCCTGGGAGCGCCAGCAGAGCCTGCAGCCCCGTCTGCCACAGCCCCGTCCGCGCTCCCCGGGGGCTGGAGGCCCCCTCCCTGCAGGCCTGGCCCCGGAGGCCAGTCCACTCCCTCCTGGCTCATTTTCCTTCTTTTCACTGAAGCCCCCCGACCCGCAGACACGCCGTCTCCACGCCCCCTTGGCAGAGACGATGCAGGCTCAGAACAGACCAGTGACCGGCCGGACCCCGGGGGCCACGCCTGGGGGCTGCACCTGGCCCAGGAAGCCCCTGCGTGGCTGCCACTGCCCCGGCCCCGCTGGGAGGGCCGGTCTCCATGGTAGAGTTAAGGGTCGACTTCACTACGCATCCTTTTTCTTTTTTCTAAGATGTATTTATTTGTGCACACAGGAGCTGGGGCACAGGCCAGAGGTGTGGGGTGAGAGGACTCCCCAGAGACAGAGCGGGGAGCAGAACAGGCGGATCCACTGAGCTCCACTGCCGAGGGGAGCCGCGGGGAGGCAGGAGAGGTCTGCCGCGCCCTGCGGGCAGCCCCCTGACCGGGATGGACTCAGGCCGCAGAGGCTGCACACAGCTCCACAGCGCCGCGCCCCCAGGGAGGCCCCCGCCCATCCTTTTTCTTTTATCCAAACAAATGCCAAGAAGAGAAGGACGTGACGGCCTCGTCCTCCTGTCCCTAAGCAGAGGAAAAGCGGCTCGGCCGGCAGCCGCCCTCAGCCAGGGGCCTGCAGTCCCCCCTCGGGCCGGCCAGGGCTCCTGCCCCGGGAGGACGCGGCGCCTCGGCTCTTGCTCAAAGCGCTTTTCCTTTTTTCATGTTTCCTCTTTTTCATCTCTCTGTTGCCTAATTTGGGCTGCGCTGTGCGAGCGTGTGATTTGGGAGCCAGTTCCCTGTGCTTCTCGGCGCCTTCCACGCCGGGCCCGGCCAGCCTGCGGGCGCCCCCGGGCGGGGGGCCCTCCAGTGTGTGTGGGGCTGTGCTCTGCCCCGGCGGGGTCCAGGCCCAGGGTCTGACTCCAAGGCCTGGTGGGCCAAGGGCGGCCGGGGTCTCAAGAGTCCCCTTAGGGGCAGTGGAGGGGCAGCTTGGGGTGGAGACGGGCGCCTGGCTGTGGTGGCCAGGCCTGGGTCACGCAGAGGACGCAGGCGGAGTGTGGCTGAGGCAGGCCTGGCACCAGTTGGGCCCTGCCCTCAGGCCTTTGCGGCCAGCCCTGCTGGCTGGACACGCCCCTGCAGCCGGCCCCAGCTGGGGACAGGGTGCGACCAGGCTCTAAGCCCTGAGCTCCGGGAGCTGCCCGTGTCCTCCCCGGGCCCGGAGCCAGGCTGGACACAGCCACCTCTGATGAGGGGGAAGCAACACTGGGGGGTCCCTGCCCCCCACCCGGCTTCCTGTCACCAAGGGCAGGACCCTGTGGCCTGCGGGTGTGCTCCCCCCTGTGGGAGGGGGTGTCAGGCCCACATCCTGCGGCTTCCCCGCCGGACCCCAGGGGCTGGACCCCATCTTACGTGAACGTCTTGGGGGGCAGCCGTGGCAAGAGCTGCTCTCACCGGGCCGCTCAGTCTGGGGCTCTGGGAGGGCCACGGCCTCTTATCGGAGCAGCCTGGGCCCGGAGTGGACAGCCGCTCTCCAAGCCCAACTGGACCGGGCACCTGGGGCGCGCCAGGTGAGCTGGGGCAGCGCAACCAGCCCTCGGGGAGTGCAGCCTCAGGACTTTGGGGGTCCTGGGGTCCCTGCAAGGAGGGCTGGACTGGCCACAGCTGGCCTCCGCCTGCACCCGCGGGGAGGGGCGTGGGGGCCCTGGAAGTGGTGTGGGGGTGCCCGCACGGACCGAAGCCACCCCACGCCGGCGCTGTGGCCAGGAAGCCAGAGCCGGGCTGAGTTCTGCTTTTGATCCCGGCGGGAAGGCCCAAGGGTTCTGTTTTGACACTTCTGGGTCCTGCCGGTAACAGCGAATCCGGCCACCCAGGGGAGGCGCGGTCTGAGCTCCGAGGCTTTCACAGCCGTCCCGGCGAGCCCGGCCCCACGGCCGCCTCCTGTGCAGGCTCCCCAGCACCCTCCTCCCTTAGGGTCATGGCCTGTCAGGTTCCCAGGAGCTGACCTGGAGGGGGGCCGGTGCTTTGGGCCTGGCTGGGTCGGCAGCCCCCACCGGAGCCAGGGAGAAGGGCGGGTCCCCAGGGGCCAACAGACTCCAGCCGTCCGCGCCCTGCCCTGGAAGACCAGGGCGCTTCAGTGACCGCAGGCCGGGTCCCTGGGGCAGCCCCGAGTGGCACAAGCACCAGACTCGCTCACCTGGGCCTGTACCTGCCCAGGTGTCCAGCCCCGCTGGGGCTCGGGTCAGCTGCCCTGGCCGACCCAGCATCTGCCTGCGCCAGGAGTCCCGCCCGGCTCACTCTCGCGCCACTGAGGCCAGGTCGGCTAGGGGCATGTGCCTGTGAGTGAGTGTGCCTACACCTGAGTGTGTGCCTGTGCATGTGTGTCCACGTGTGTGCCCGCGTGTGCGTGTGCCCATGTGAGTGTGTGTCTGCGCGTGAGTGTGCCCGCGTGCGTCCCAGGCAGGCCCACCCTCTGCTGGTCTGGGAGGCAGCCCGGCGTGCTGGCCCCGCCCTGGTGCTGGCCCCACAGCAGTTCCGTGGGGGTCCCGCAGCCTGCGCCTGGGTCTGAGCCCGTCCCCCCACCCGCAGGACATGCTGCCCGGGCTCTCTCTGCTGTGCGCCCTGGCGCCACTGCTCTGCCTGGGGCCCGGTGAGTTCTGCGGGCAGCCCCCTCTCTATGCTGGGTGGGGAAGGACAGGGTGTCCTCACATCCCCCTGGACCCACGCCCCGGGCGCCCCTCCTTCTGGAGGGCCACCTCCCTGGGGCCGGCAGACACACCCCTGCCCTGTCCTCCTGCTGCCCTCCCCCCAGGAGTGGCCTTGCCGTCCACCCGCCCCCACTTGTGCCCCAGCTCAGGGAGCCCTCCCCCCAGCCCTCTCCCAGGAGTGCGCCAAGTACAAGGTCAGCACCTGCCGGGACTGCGTGGAGTCGGGGCCCAGCTGCACCTGGTGCCAGAAGCTGGTAAGTGCCGGCTGCCGCCTGCCCGCCGGAGCCCCTTCCTCTGCCTCGGGGGCTGCTGGCACCCAGGAGTGCTGCCCACTTTCTCGTGGGACGAAAGCGGCCTGGGCACCCGGCTGCGGGCACACGGGGCTGGCCACCAGGGACCCCGGGAGGGCGGGTGGAAGCCTGGACGCCGGGAGGAGCGCAGGGGTGGGGGCGTGTGGCCCGGGGCGCGCAGGAGAGTGAGCGGGGTCAGCGGGAGGGGTACAGAAGGCCCTGGGGGACCCCTCGCGGGCTCTGGACGGGGCCTGTCACTCTGAGGCCCTCGGGAGGCCACGGCCAAGACGGCCAGTCTCCAGCCTCGGCCTGGTCCCACACCGACCCTCCTCCGCCCCCTCCCCCTCCGGCCAGCGTGGCCCCACAGGCTGCTCTCCCCGCGGCTCACAGCCCACGGCTGCCACCTTGTCAGCTTGACCCTCACGGCACTCTGAGCCGGGAGCCCCAGCCCGCTGCCCGTGCCAGGGCCGCCTGCAGCGGGTTCCGAGGGGGGGTGAGAGGCTCGGGTCTGCCCTGCCCCCAGCCCCCACCCCGCCCGCGCAGAGCCAGGGCCTCCTCTGCGGTTCCCGGTTCCCCCTCGCTGGACAACCTGCCTCCCCGCCCACAGGCGCTTCCCCCTCCCCCGCCCCGGCTCCCGGAGGCCCCGCTGGGCCAGCAGCCTGCGCAGGGTCACTGCTGTCCTGAGATGGCCCAGGGCGCCCCACCGCCCCGCTGGCGGGCCCTTCAGGAAGGGGGCTCGGGCCCGGCCTTCTGAGGACCCAGGGCCTGTGCGGCGCAGGGCACGCTCTCGGGACGCCACACTTCCCTCGGCCACTTCCCTCTGGGGGCTGGGCCCGACCCCTGGTCCAGGCCGGACTGAGCCAGGCCCCCGGGGCCCCCTGGGCTGAGGCCTGGGCTGGGGATCCCTGCTGCAGGCAGAGAGGAGCCCCCAACTCAGCTGGGGGGGACAGGACACAGGGCGTGGGGGGCTGGACACAGGGGTCTTCTAGGCTGCCCCCCGGCCTGCAGGGCTGTGTCTGGAGTCCGGGCATGAGTGAGGGGCCAGCCTCACAGCGTGGGCCCTTGTCCCCCCCCAGAACTTCACTGGGCAGGGGGAGCCCGACTCCGCCCGCTGCGACACCCGGGAGCAGCTGCTGCTGAAGGGCTGTCCCGCCGACGACATCATGGACCCCCAGAGTCTGGCCCAGACGGAGGGGGGCCGGCCAGGGGCCCGGGAGCAGCTGTCCCCAAAGATGGTGACGCTCCACCTGCGGCCAGGTAGGCGGTGCTGGGCGGCACGGGTGCCCTTGGTCCTGCGTGGCGTCCCGCTCAGCGGCCAGGCTGCGGGGAGGCCCCCAGGCCCCTCCACCGGCCCCGGCCCTGGCCCGTCCCTGTTGGGTCCCGCCCTGTCCCCGTCCCGGGGAAGGGCACCGGGCGGGCGCCAGGCTGGGTGGGCGGCGGGCAGACGGGACTCAGTCGCTCCCCGGCCGCTCGCTCCTGGCCTGCACCGAGCGCCGACCGTGCGCAGGCGTGGCCCTGGGAGGACGGGCGCGGGCAGCCAGGGCCTCAGGCTGGGGCAGAGCCGAGCGCAGAACTGCATGGGCAGGGGTGGGGCCCCCCGGGCTGGTGGACCAGGGCGGGCGGTGGGGGCCGGGCCGGGCTCCGCGGACCGTGAAAGGCAGCGCCTCGGAGCTAGCGCGTGGCCAGCATGCTTCGCCTGGGGACGCGCGTCCAGCGGGGCCGCTCTCCTGGGCGCCTCTGCCTCCCGCAGGCCAGGCAAGGGGCAGGGACCGCGGAGGCGCCCCCAGATGCCCTGAGCCCCCACTCGCGCCGCAGGTCAGGCGGCCGCCTTCAACGTGACCTTCCGGCGGGCCAAGGGCTACCCCATCGACCTGTACTACCTCATGGACCTGTCCTACTCCATGCTGGACGACCTCATCAACGTGAAGAAGCTGGGGGGCGACCTGCTCCGGGCCCTCAACGACATCACCGAGTCCGGCCGCGTGGGTCAGCTGCCGCCCCGCGCCCGCCCCACGCCCGCCCCCGCCCCGGACAGACCCAGGAGGGCACCGCCCGCCCGTCCCCTCAGCCCTCGCCCTCCTGCCCCTCAGGCTTTGGCTCCTTCGTGGACAAGACGGTGCTCCCCTTCGTCAACACGCACCCCGAGAAGCTGAGCAACCCGTGCCCCAACAAGGAGAAGGAGTGCCAGGCCCCCTTCGCCTTCAAGCACGTGCTGAGGCTGACCAACAACTCCAACCAGTTCCAGACGGAGGTCGGGAAGCAGTGGATCTCCGGGAACCTGGACGCCCCCGAGGGCGGGCTGGATGCCATGATGCAAGTGGCCGCCTGCCCGGTGAGGGCCCCTCCTGCCTCCCCGAGCTGAGGTTTCTCCCTGCAGCCGCCAGGCCGCCCACACGGGCACCGCTGGCCCCGGCGCTGGAGCAGGCCGGACAGCAGCCACCCCGCCCGGCTCTCAGGGAAGCCCGGCCCCGCCGTCCCACGCAGGCCCACTGCCCGCGGCGACCCGGCCGAGCCTCCTGAGCCTGGACAGCAGGCGGAGCCCCAGGGGAGGCTGCTGCCCGCCCGCCCGGCTCCCGGCGGATGGCCCACGCCCGCCCGCTCCCCCCACCCTGAAGAGGGCGTCCGGCTCCCGCTCCGCCCCTGGCTGGCCCTGCTGGCTCCTGGCCCTGGCCCTGGCCTGTCTGTCCCGCGCACAACCCTCGCCCCCGCAGCCTGCGTGGGGCCAGCTCTGCAGCGTGGCGGCACAGCCAGGGACTCGCTCCTGCCTCGCAGCCCTGCGGCCCCGTCCTTGGTGCCCAGGGCTTTGGCCACGTAGCAGCTGCTCCTCCAGCCCCCCGGCCCTGCTGCGGGCCCAGCCCCAGGGGGACAAGGAGCCCGTGGGGCGTCGCCCACCTAGCCTGGCTGGGGTGCTCTCCTGCAGCCCCAAGGGCCTGGGACCCGGAGCTGCCACCTCGGCCCTCCCGCGCCCCCCCCCGTTCCCCCCCGGCTGGCGCTGATACCCCACCTGTGCCCAGGAGGAGATCGGCTGGGGCAATGTCACGCGGCTGTTGGTGTTTGCCACAGACGACGGCTTCCACTTTGCGGGTGACGGGAAGCTGGGCGCCATCCTGACCCCCAACGACGGGCAGTGCCACCTGGAGGGCGGCCTGTACAGTCGCAGCAACGAGTTCGTGAGTGCTGCCCGCGGGCTCCCCAACCCCAGCCCTGGCCGGCCCAGCCGCCCCCTAACCCCAGCCACAGCCGCCCTGACCCCAGCCCCGGCCGCCTGGGCCATCCGCCGGGCTCCACAGCCCGGCCTCTGACGGCGGCTTCCTCCAGGACTACCCGTCGGTGGGCCAGCTGGCGCACAAGCTGGCCGAGAGCAACATCCAGCCCATCTTCGCCGTGACCAAGAGGATGGTGAAGACCTACGAGGTGAGTGGGCCAGACCGGGCGTCCCCTGCAGCTCCGCTTCCAGGAGAGAGCTGTGCCCGCTGCGGTGGACGGAGCCTGGCAGACCCAGGCCTCCTGGGCCTGGTCCCCCAACTCGCACGCACGGCCCCCCAAGCACCCCAGCACCTGCCTGGTGGGCAGCAGGGCCCTGCTCCCGCGGACCTGTAGCAAACGGGGAGGAAGGAACAGCTTCCCTGGGCCACCAGACGGGGTGGGGTCCACAGCCGCGGGGAGTGGGCAGGGAGGCTGGAGAGGCAGGTGACTGGGACGCCCCCGGAGCACAGGCATAGCGGCCCCTCTGGGGAGCGGCAGCAGGGCTCCGGCTCTGGCTCCGGCAGTGACTCAGCCCTCAGCGCCAGTGCGGCCCTCCCCGACGGCCGGGTGACCCCGAACTAAGGCGTGGGCGGGGGGCATAGACGCTCCCCGGGGCTACAGGGATCTGTCCACGTTGGGGCTGCTGCCCGCAATGCACCCCGCTGGGGTGGAGCTGAGTCCTGTTTGCGAGCGGCCCAGCTCAGCCGACGCTCCCTGCTTGGCCGCCCTTCCTGACGCTGCGGCGCTGTCCTGCCCACCGGCCGCTGCCGAGGCGGGGGCAGCTCCTCCAGCTCTGAGCCCAGATGCCCCTGAACCCGCTGCAGGGGTGTGTGGCCGGGGGTCGCCATGCCTGCCCTCTAGGACTTTTCTCCCCGCGAGGGGCTCTGTGTGGTCGGGAGCACGGACGACTGGGACCCCAGCAGGGCCGTCGGGGCCGGCCGAAGCCGGTGGACACGGCATCCCCGTGGCCTCTGAGTTTTGCTGGTCTCTCCCCAACAGAAACTCACGGAGATCATCCCCAAGTCGGCCGTCGGGGAGCTGTCAGAGGATTCCAGCAACGTGGTCCAGCTCATCAAGAACGCCTACAACGTGAGTGCCAGCCAGCGGCGCCTGGCGGTCAGCGAGGCCGCCCTGCCACGGGTCCCCCTCCCCGGGCCGCCGGCAGACCTGACCAGCTGACCCGGCTGACCCGGCGCGCCCGTGGCCTGGCGTGTTCTTGCCTGCGGGCGGCCTGTGCCACTCGGACGCCACGAGCCAGGCCTGAAACAGAAGCGGCAAGCCCATCCCAGGCCGCAGTCCCTCAGCCCGCCGGGAGCCCCCCTGCGCCTCCTCCCGCCAGCCTGGCCGCCCCGGCCTCTGCACCCCTGGCCTCCGCCCCGTCTCGCTCAGTCTCCATCTCTGTGGCTCCGTGTGTGTGCGCGTCTGTCCGCCTGTCTCTCCTCCTTCGGCTCTGTCTCCGTCTCTCGGTCTCTGCCTCTCCTGTCTCTGGCTCAGCTCTCCAGCTCCCGCCCTGGCAGTGCCCTGCTCCCCCCGAAGCTGCTGAAGCTGCCCCCAGGCTGCACCCCTTCCCCCCCGCCAGTCTTGGGGGGCCGTGGCCTTGGTCACCCCACCACTGGCTGCACAGCACAGGACCAGCTCCCTGCGGGTGTGTGGGCAGAGGAAGAGGCAGGGGCGGCCTGGGCAGGGCTGGGGGGCAGAAGCGAGCCCCCTAACTGGGGGTCCCTGCTCTCTGCTCTAGCAACTCTCCTCCAGAGTCTTCCTGGAACACAGCACCCTCCCCAGCACCCTGAAAGTCACCTACGACTCCTTCTGCAGTAAGGGGGCTCCGAAGATGAACGAGCCCCGAGGGGACTGTGACGGCGTCCAGATCAACGTGCCGGTGAGTGTCCACCCCGGCATTCTGGAAGCTTCTATCCCAGGAACAGGCAGAAGGAGGCTCCCCAGCAAAGAGTGGGGGAGAAGCAGCTGCGGAGCTCTCTGGCCAGAGGGAGGGGCAGGAAGGGCCTGTCTGGGCCAGCTGGATGGAGGGCAGGCAGCAGCGTCCCCTCGGGGCAAAATGGGTGTCCCTCCCACGGCGCCTGCTCTGGGCTGGTTTCCCTTCTTGTGTTTTATTTCACTTGGTGACAAAGACGCCCCGAGCCCACAGGCGAGGAACGGGGTGTGAAGCCGCCCGTGCTTTACACGCGCTGCGGCCCAGCAAGTCAACGCCACTAGCCGAGAGCGAACACTCAGCAGAACATGCGCCTTTGGTGCAATTTTGAAGATGCCATTTAACCCTCGAGTGTGTCGCCTACGGGGTGTCGCGCGTGACTGCGCACCCAGGTGCCGCCGGCCCAGGGGCCGGACGCGGTGGCCTGACGCGCCAGAGACGCCTCCCTCCACGGGCGGTCGCCGGCTGGGGCCGCTCGGTCTCCCTTAGGCCTCTGCCCTTCGTTCAGGGTCCTGGCCTGAGCCTCCAGGACTTTGGGAGAAAGCCGGGGAACAGCGTGTCCTTCACAGTCGCCCCAAGCCCTTCCACGCGCGCAGCGTGACAGGCATTGCAGACCCGCAGCGGCCAGGCCGCGGGGTGGGGGCCGCGGGGTGGGGGCCGCGGGCCGGGTTCCCTGCGGCCCTGGGCTCCGCTCACCTCCCCCTGCCCCACCCTCCTGCTCCCGCTCCAGGCCTCCCCTGCACCGGCCAGCGCCCGGCGGCCAAGGGTGCACCCTGACCGCTGAGCCCAGGCCCCTGGGCCGGGCCAGGCCGTGGGAAGGGGGTGAGGGTGGAGCCCCGGCCTGGCCTGACCCACCTTCCCGGGCAGGTCACCTTCCAGGTGAAGGTCACGGCGGCGGAGTGCGTCCAGGAGCAGGCCTTCACCATCCGGGCGCTGGGCTTCACGGACACGGTGACGGTGCGCGTGCTCCCCCAGTGCCAGTGCCAGTGCCGGGGCGCGGGCCGCGACCCCCGCGCGCTCTGCAGCCACAACGGCACCATGGAGTGCGGCGTCTGCAGGTGGGCGGGCCTCGGGGGCGGGGCCTGGGGAGTGGGGGGTCCCGGCGGGCGGGCCCGGGGAGCGGGCGGCCCGGGGGAGTTCCCGGGGGGTCCCGGGGGCGGGCCCCGGAGGAGTGGGGGTCCCGGCGGGCGGGCCCCGGGGGAGTCGGGGTCCCGGCGGGCGGGCCCGGGGGGGGAGTCGGGGTGCCGGCCGGACGCCACCGCGGTGGTCGCGCAGGTGCGACGCGGGCCACATCGGGAAGCGCTGCGAGTGCCAGACGCAGGGCCGCAGCAGCCAGGAGCTGGAGGGCAGCTGCCGCAAGGACAACAACTCGGTCGTGTGCTCGGGGCTGGGCGACTGCGTGTGCGGGCAGTGCGTGTGCCACGCCAGCGACGTGCCCCACAAGGAGGTGTACGGGCAGTTCTGCGAGTGCGACAACTTCAACTGCGAGCGCTACGAGGGCGAAGTCTGCGGGGGCGAGAGTGCGTGGGCGGGGCCGGGCGGGGCCGGCGGGCGGGGCTGGGCGGGGCCGGCGTGGGCGGGACCGGCCGGGGCGGGGGCGGGGGCGGGGCGGGCCGGCGGGGGCGGGGCCTTCGGGGTGTGGGGGCGGGGCCTGCGTGGGCGGGGCCGGCCGGGGCGGGGCGGGGCGGGGCCGGCGTGGGCGGGGCCTTCGGGGCGTGGGGGCGGGGCCGGGCGGGGCGGGGCCGCCGAGGGGGCGGGGCCAGAGCGGCGGCCGGGGCCGGCGGGGCTGACGGGGTGCTGCCCTGCAGAGCGGGGGCGCTGCTTCTGCGGCAAGTGCAAGTGCCACGACGAGTACCAGGCTCGGCCTGCCAGTGCGAGAAGTCCAACAACATCTGCCGGAACCGCCGCGGCGTCGAGTGCAGCGGGCGCGGCCGGTGCCAGTGCAACGTGTGCGAGTGCGACGCGGGCTACCAGCTGCCCACGTGCGACGAGTGCCCGGGCTGCCCCCTGCCCTGCGGCCGCTACGTGTGAGTGGGGTGCGCGGGCGGCCCCGGCGGGACGCGCGAGGCCGAGGGGGTTCGGAGCGGGCTGGGCCGCGGGCCTCCCTCCCCTGTGCCCAGCCCCGCCCCGCGGCCCGCCCGGGCCGGCCCAGAAGCGCGCAGGCCTTTCCCCTCGGGCCTCCCGCACACCCGGGTCGCGCCCGCCCGGGCCGGCCCGCGCTCACGCCGGTCGCCCGGCCGCGGCCCCGCAGCTGGTGCGCCGAGTGCCTCAGGTTCGACAAGGGCCCCTTCCAGAAGAACTGCAGCGCGGCCTGCGGGAACCTGAGCGCCAGGAACGGCTCGCTGTCCAACCGCAAGTGCCGCGAGCGCGACTCCGAGGGCTGCTGGATGATCTTCACGCTGCGCCAGCTCGACGGCCGCGACCAGTACGACATCCACGTGGAGGACGACCGCGGTGCGTCCCGGGCCCCCTCCCGCCCCACCTGCCGCGCCGCGGCCGCACCCCAGGGGCCAGGCTCCCACGCCCGCGACCACCCAGGCGGGGCTACCGCCCGGACTTGGTCCCGGCCACTCTGTCAGGCCGACGGTGGGATTTTGAGGACCGGGTACTCGGATCTCGGCCTGCAGGGCCTCAGGGCTCAGTGCCATTGGCCTGCCCGACTGCCCCCTGGGCTCGGCCGCCCGTGCTGGTGGGGGGCACAGATGCCACCTGTCCTCCCAGGGTGCACGCCCCGAGGGTGGAGACGTGCTTAGCCAACATGGCAGAACCCCCGTGCCCACAAAAGCCAGCGGGGGCCAAGACAGGGAAGATGGCAGCTGCGGGTCCCTGAGGTCAGAGCCAGGAGGACGGGCTGCAGCGGAAACCCAGGCCTAGAGCGTCCAGACAGAGAGAGAGAGAGGGGTGTGGGCAGAGCCCCTGGGGCTGGGCTGTCAAGGCCTTGAGTGCCGGGAGAGTTCAGTCACTTCCAAACCTCCCAGGCGGCGACCCCAGAGCAGCGTGTTCAAGACTGACACACCGGGGGCCTCAGGACGCCGACGGGGCCACACGGGGCCAGCTGGACCATCTTGGGATGGACACAGGGGTGGAGTCAGGAGGAGCAGGCCTCCTGGGGGGTGGGGGTCGGGTCAGTTTCTAGGGGTACATGCTGGAAGTGTGGGAGCTGGGATGTAAAGTAAACACCATGCCAGTGGGTTAGGGCTTCAGACTGGCAGCACCCCCTCTTCCTCCCCAAGAGAGAGGCCGGGAGCACAGCGCTGGGAGGCCCAGCCATTTGGGTGACCAGGCCAGGCATGATCCTGGCAGGACACTGCCATCCCCCCATGATGGGGGCAGGGGCTGACGCTCTGCCCCATTTCTGCCTCACTTCAGAGTGTGTGGAGGGCCCCAAAGTCGCAGCCATCGTGGGGGGCACCGTGGCGGGAGTTGTGCTCATCGGCGTCCTCCTCCTGGTCATCTGGAAAGTCCTGACCCACCTGAGCGACCTCCGGGAATACAAGCGCTTTGAGAAGGAGAAGCTCAAGTCCCAGTGGAATAATGTAAGTGGCCCCGAGGCCGAGGGTCCCGGGTGGACGGTGCGCCCTCCAGCCCCCTGGATCCCCACCCCGGGGTGCACACGAGCACCCCCAACACTGCGGCAGGTCTGCTCAGGGCTGCAAGCGCAGCTGCCCGGCTCCCAGCCACCCCCCGCCAACCGCCTTCTTGCTTTGTGCCGCAGGACAACCCCCTCTTCAAGAGCGCCACCACGACAGTCATGAACCCTAAGTTTGCTGAAAGTTAGGCGCCTGGTGACCGGCCACAAGGTCCGAGATGGGGCCCCACCCGCGCCCCTCCCGAGGCCGCCCTGCCCCGCCCCCGAGCCCCGCCCCGAGCCCCGCCCCCGGCCACCCCGGCCCAGCCCCGACGTCCCTGCCCCGCCGCGCCCCTCCCCGGCCGCCCAAGCCCCGCCCCGCCACCGAAGCCCCACCCACCACGCCCCGCCCCGGCCGCCCAAGCCCCGCCCCGCCACCGAAGCCCCACCCACCACGCCCCGCCCGGCCGCCCAAGCACCACCCACCACGCCGCAGAGCCCCGCCCACGCCCCCGCCCCGGCGCCCACGCCCCGCCCCGGCGCCCACGCCCCGCCCCGGGGCGCCCCCGCTGGTCAGCCGAGCCTGAAGCGCGACTCCCGCCCGCTGCTTCCGGCCGCGAGGGGCCTGGGACCCGGCTGGGCGCTCCCGGCCCGAGGCCCCTGCCGTGGGGGCGCCCTGGCGCGGCAGAGGGGGTCCCGGAGCGCCGGGCAGTGCGGGCAGGACGGACGCGCCGGTGCCCCTGGGAGGGGCTGGGGGAGCCCCGCGGCCGCGCCCCCGGCGGGCTCCGTCGTCGCGGAGGAGGCCCGGAGACGAGGGGCGGCTCTGCCGGCCCCCCGCGGGGAGCAGGGCCGGCTCGGGGGGGGGGGGGGGGGCGCCGCTCGCGTGTCGCGGAAACCCGGCCCGCAGGCAGCAGCTCCCGCCGCGCGCGGGTGTTGGTAGCTGCGCTCCCAGGGGTTAAAATGGCCGCCCCGGGGCGCAAGGGGCCCAGCCCAGCGCTGTGAAGCCGCCCCCCGCCAGGGAGCGAGCCCGGGGCGCAGCAGACCCGCCTGATTTCCCCGCTGCTCCCCTCAGCAGTGGATCTCCGTGGATCGGCCTGTTCTGCTCCCCGCTCTGTCTCTGGGGAGTCCTCTCACCCCCTCCCTGCACCTCTGGCCGGTACCCCAGCTCTTGTGTGCATAAATAAACAAATCTTTAAAAATAAATAAATAGGGCCTCCCCGGTGGTGCAGCGGTTGAGCGCTGGGTTGCAAAGCTGCCCGCGGCCTCTGCGGCGCCGGTTCGATCCCCGGCCACCGGAGGAGGGTCCCGCATGGCGCGCAGACCTCTCCTGCCGCCCGCTGCTCCCCTCAGCAGTGTCCTTCGGTCCTTCTGCCTGCTCTGCTCCCCGCTCTGGCTCTGGCGGGTCCTCGCGCCCTCCCGCGCTTCTGACTGTACCCAGTGCTTGTATAAACAAAACAAACAAATAAAATAAATAAATAAAAACATGCCTCTATTTAAAAAAATAAATAAATAAATAAAAAATAAATAAATAAAATGACCACCCTTGTTTGTTCTGTCCCTCAGTCACGTGTGTCCAGAGAAATAAAGGCAGGGCTGCTGCAGAGCAGCAGGGGCGGGGTGCAGCCCCCTCCTCCCTGGGCCTACCCCAGCTGTCCTCACCGAACTCGAAAGAGGGGCAGCGGCTGTGGAGCCTGAGCGGGGCAGAGGCAAGGGGCGTCTTGCTTCTCTGTGGCCCGTCTACACCTGCCCTTGGGGTGGGCGCATTTCTCACCCGCTGTCTCTTGGGGTGACCTGGCAGTCATGGGGATTCCGTGCCACAGGGCAGGGAGAATTGCCCATGCCAGCACAACGGGGTGAGCAGCAGAGCCACAGCTGCCCAAGACAGCGGGTGCCCAGCACCCACACAGGCTTTGCTGGGTCCTGGAGACCTGGGTCTGGGCATGGCTGTGAGAGTCACCAGGTGGGCATCAGGGAGGCCTGGCTGCATCGCACCACCTGGGGGTGTCCCCTTTGATGCTGAAGGCCCTTCTCCCCTGAACCCAGGTCTGTCCAGTCCAGGTGGCCTCCTCCACCACCAGGCAGTGACCCGGATCATGGTGCTGACCTGGCGTCTCACAGCTTCTGACGCCACCTGCCTGGAGGTGGCCCAGACCCCACAGGCTCAGGCCCCTCCCGCCAGGCTGCCTCCAACTCCAGCCACCACCCTGTGCTCCCTCCCATCAGCTGTAAAGTGGAGCCTCCCCCCAAAGGAACTCAGGAGCCCCGACAGTTTGCTGGCCACCATTTATTACGGAGGACGTGAGTGACCCTCCAGATGGAAGGTCATGGGCAGGTCTGGGACAGGCACTAGCCTCCATGGGGGTGGGGACGCACCAATCTCCCCAATCCCCACCTCGTTACCTCCCCGAGACCCTCCCAACCTGGCTCAGTGGCAGTGATTGCCCAGGGCCCTCCCCTCCTGTAGGTCGAGGTCAGGGTGGGGCAGGACTGAAGTTTCCAGGCCTGAGATTTCAGGGCTGACCCCCTCAGGAGGGGCACAGGGGGGCACCAGGGAGGCCCCCCCTAGGCGGGATGGACCAGGAGAGCAAGGCGGGGGCCCCTGGTGTCCACAACCAGGGAAGTGGTGCCCGCTGGCCTGTGCATAGCTCTCATCACCTACAGTTCTCCGGCAATCCTCTGGGAAGTCCCCAGGGAGGTGAGGGGAGCAAGCTGGGACTGGCAAGGGTATGTGGGGGGATAGAACATCAGCAGAGTCGCAGGCCCAGCCACGGGCTCCAGCGCGCAGGGACGACGGGCAGAGTTCCCCGGGAACCAGGGGTTCTGCCTGCAGCTGGGATCAAGAGAGCTTTCCCACAAAAGGCCTTAGGGACGGGACCCTCAGACACCCAGTGCGGGTGAGGGGTCACGAGAGCCCCTTCTTCCTGGCCCTGAGGGACGCCCAGAGGTGGCGTGAGGACGCTTGGAGCCCAGAGTGTTGGGTCTGGGCCCTGGGTGGCCCAGGATGGCGGTGGTGCCCCGCACAGCACCAGCCTTGCTGGGGAGGGAGCTGCCCCACATACCCTGATGCGGGCGCCGTGATGTCCCTTAATCCAACCGCGGAAAATGGGTTCTGTAGTCACAGGCCCGCCTGCCTCCGCCCACTGACTCCTGCCCGCCCCAGCTGGCACAGACTTTCCCGGCCCCAGGCCCTTTGTCCTCCACTGAACTGGAAACGAGGTGTCCCCAGAGCTGAAGATGTCGGGGTTTAATGTGTTACCTGCCCTGGGGAGGGCATGGTGCTTTTTCCTGGCCCTTCAGGAAGGAACGCTGACCTCCTGGGGAACGCACCTCGCACCAAGGCAGGGCTGAAGGCTGCCCCAGGCCAAGGGAAACAGCTCAGGGGACCTGGAAACAGCTCTGGGCCACGCGGCCTGGGGCCTGGGTCCCATAGCCCCACTTTGGGCCCACCCCGGCGCTGGGGTCCTGCCATCACGATGACAACCCTGCAAGTGTCGGCCTAACGCCTGGCCCATCTCCCGTGGGAAAGCCCTCTTAACTCCAGGTGCAGGCAGAACCCCCGGTTCTCAGGGAACTGCGCCCGTGGCCTCTGCACCTGGAGCCCGTGGCTGGGTCTGGGGCTCCTGATAATGCGCTGACCCCCCCCAAACAGAAACGGGCTAGAGGGGCGGGTCGGTGGTGAGCTCTGCGTGGGCGGCTGTCGCAAAGTCAGCTGCTTTTCCAGGGGCACAGTTGGTGGTGCCATCTCTGGCGTGGTGGCATCGCCGCCGCCCACTTGCCACTCACAAGCGCCCTATGATGGTGGGGTAGGGTTTAATAAGGTCAAAACCCGAGCCCCACTCCTGGCCCCCGCACTCAGGTCTGGGAGGCTGGAGTGGATAAGGGAAGGGAGAGAGCTGCCTGGGGCGGAGGCCTGAGAATGGCCACCAGGACAAAGGTCCAGCCCTGCTCTGGACCCAGAGCTGGGCCAGGATGCCCCTGCCCTGCTGGAGGCCAGCGCCCAGTGGGAACCGGGCAAGCTGAGCCCCCAGGCAGGAAGCGAGACCAGAGCACAAGGGAGCAGGTCGCCTCAGAGCAGGCTGCGGCTCCTCACCCCTGCGGGGCATGTCAGTGAACGCCCTCTCCATTCCTCCACCCCCCTCTGGTGAGTTCCTTCCTGGGAGAAATGCTGCTCGGTCGGTTTTCTGTCTTCAGGGAGACAGAGCAGCTGCCCTCGCCCTCAGCAGCGCGGCAGTGGTGGCGGCAGGCCCCGTCTGGAGCAGCACAACCGAGCCAAGGTTCACTGAGAGGCCAAAAGGAACAAAAAAGTTTCAACAAAAGTTGCGTGGCCACTGTGGAAAGGAAGTCAGGCCCTGCAGGGAAAGGAAGTTAGATGCGTGACCCCGGTGCTCCTCGAGCGGGGAGGGGGAGGGACTCGCCCAAGGTACAGCTGGAGGACAAAGACTCTCCCCCCTGGCCCACAGGCTTGGCCAGCCCCTGGGACGTCAGCCGACCACTCCCTGAGTGCTCCTCTCTGCGTCCTTCCTGGGGTTCCGACAGGGGAAGTCACTGCTCGCACTCTGCCCCCCCCAGCCTGCACCAGAGATGTCCATTGGCACTGCCCCCCCCACCCCCACCTGACTGCCCCCTGGAGGTGCTCACCCCCAGGGCTGCGCTGGCTGGGGCGGGCGCCATGCCCCCCAGTAAATGGGCTTTTTGACATCTTTGTCTGTAACTGGGCAAGGCGGCGGCCACAGCTCGGGGCGCCTGATGGGGCAGGAAGGACCTTTGTCACTGTGCAAGGAGTGGGAAGGCAAGCGGTGTTTGCACGATGGCCTGGGGGCAGAGCACGAGCACCAGGGCCTTGGCTACCAGGCTCAGGTCTGCCCTCCAGCGCCAGGGTCTGCCCACTGCCTGCAGTGACTGTGCACGGGCTGGGGTGGTCAGCGGGCTGGGGGCTGCAGCTGCTGACGACCCAGGAGGTGGAGGTTGGGGAAGTGGGAGCTGGTGGCCGGGCGCCCTTTCCTCCATGTCGTGAGACCCGGGCAGCCATGGCCCTGCTGGCTCCGTAGCTGTAAGCCAGTGAGGCGGGTGAGGCAGCACTGCCCAGTCCTCGGACGCAGGGCCCTGGTGGTATTGCCCTCCGGTGAGCGGGCTTTGCACCTTGGTCTGGGGCCGCCGGCAAGTTAAATCCTAACTGCTGTGGGGCCCTCTCGGGGGTGGTGAGTGTGCAAGAGCTCATGGCTTGGGCCCCGGCATGCTGGACGAGGAAGGGCCTGCCCTCATCTGTCTGGACCCCATCTGTGTCCCCGGGGCTGCCCTGGATTCCCAGGTTCCAGGACCAAGCCACTCGCCACCAGGGCTCGCCGCAGTGCTTCCCGAGGGTGGGTCTGGGGCGACAGCTGTGGGCATGTGGGTGCAGGGCAGACGCCTCCCGTGAGCTGGCGAGGGGGCTCAGGAGCCGGCCCCAGGGGAGGAACAACCCCTCCTCCCCGCTCTGCTCCGACTGCCAGGCACAGCCCCCAAAGCAAGCCCTGGACTCCGCACACCGCGCCCAGGGGTCGCCGCTGGCCGGCCGTGGCCCGCCGAGCCCGGGTCATGCTCCAGCGGCCTGAAAAGAAGCGGGTGTTTTAACGAGCGACCCTGAGGGCACCAACGGCCCAGGGGCTAGTGCTGGGGTGAGTGAGGGCAGAGGGCGGCTCTCTCCGGGGCCCAGGCTGGCCCTGCAGGGCGGCCTTCCAGACTGTCAGGAGAAAGTGGGGGACAAAGAGGAAAGGAAGCGCCCCCCGGGATTTAAACGACAGTTTTGAAAATGGGCTAAAACAAGTTAGATGTTTTTAAGGTTCTCTAAGTAAATGCTGGGGGGGCGGGGCTGCGGGGTTGGGGGAGGCGGGGGGGGGGCGCGGGGGCCGGAGGGGCACTGGGCGGGAGGTGCGGGGGGCTGGAGGCGCGGGGGGCGGGACGGAGGCGGGGCGAGGGCCTTCGGGCAGGAGCCTCCCCTCGCCGCTCGGCTGCGCGGTCCGCGAGCTCAGCCCATGAGAGCGGCGACCCCTTCGTTGCCCGAACCAGCCTCGAGGGCCCCGCCCCGCCCGCGCCCCGCCCGCGCCCCGCCCGCGCCCCGCCCCCAACCCCGCCCGCCCGCGCCGGAGAGCTCGGCCCCGCGGTCTGCGCAGGCGCCGCGGCGGCGCCGGGGGCGGGGCGGCCGCGCGCCGGGGGCGGGGCGAGCCCGCGCGCCTGCGCACTCGCCCGCCGCGCCCTCTTCCGGCGCGGCTCTTCCGGGCGGGGCGCCGGCTGCGCGTCTGGCTGCGGCGCCCGGAGACCGACGAGGCCCGACGCCGGCGCGGCCGCAGCGACATGGCGTCCGGCGGGGCTCGCGGGCCGACGTGGCGCCGGGGGCTGCCCCTCGGCGGCGCCGCGCTGCTCCTGCTGCTGCTCCCGCTGCTGCTCCCCGCGGCCGCGACGCCGGAGCCGCCCACAGCGGGTGAGGGCGGGGTCCGGGGTTCCGGGGGCTGGAGAGTCGGGGGGCGGGGGGGGGCCGGGCCGGGGGCTGGGGAGTCGGGGGGCGGGGTCCCGGGGCGGGGGGGGCCGGGCCCCGGGGGCTGGGGAGTCGGGGCGGGGGTCCGGGCCCGGCCCGGAGGCGGGGGAGTCGGGGGGCCGAGGGGCGGGGGGGCCGGACCCGGGGGCTGGAGAGTCGGGGGGGGGGGGCCGGGCCCGGGGGCTGGGGAGTCGGGGGGGGGGGGCCGGGCCCCGGGGGCTGGGGAGTCGGGGCGGGGGTCCGGGCCCCGGCCCGGAGGCGGGGGAGTCGGGGGGAGGGGCGGGGTCCCGGGGGGCGGGGAGGGAGGGGCGGGGTCGGGGGCGGCCGAGTGGGGGGGGCGGGCAGGGTCAGGCGCGGGGACTTGGCGGGGCCCCATCGGCGGTGTCCCGGGTCTGGGGCGGGGCGGCCTGCAGGTCCGAGCGCTGCGCGGGCTCCGAGGCGGCGGGACGGGCGGCGCCTCCCTGGGCCCTGCGGCCGGGCCGGCAGTGCGGGGCGGCGGCCCGCTTGCCTGCCTGATCCCCCCTGCCTGGCCGCGGGGGTGGGGGGGGTGGAGGGAGCGGAGGCGCCACGGGCCGCTGGGAGCTCCAGGCCCGTCTGGCCCCTGCACTCCCTGCTCCATCCAGGTGGAAGCGGCCCGAAGCGGCCCTCGGGGGCGCCTGCTGGGCCCCGGTTCGCTCCTCCCCCCAGGGGAGAGCGTGGCTCGCGCAGGAGTCCTGGGGTCTGGGCTTCCCTGCCCGGGGCAAAGCCCCCCGCACCCCCTCCCGCACGGCTGGTCGCTGCCTGAGCTTGGTCCTCGCGAGGGCGGGAGTCAGGGCTGTCCAGGGCGGCGGGCAGCGGGCACAGCTGTGGAGAAGGCGCCCCGAATCTGCCAGTGCAGGCTGGGACCCAGGCAGGCTGGCCCTCGTGCAGCCCCAGTCCAGAGCGCTGCAGCCAGCTGTCAGGGCAGGAGAAGGGGGTGTCCCTGCTGGGCTGAGAGTGCGTCTGCCTCTCTGCCTTTTTGTCCTGTTGGGCCCATCAAGGACTGGGGGGGCTCACAGGGGGGCCTTGTTCAGCTTGCTGCCTAGTGTGCTTGAGAAGAGGTGGTTTAGGAGCCTTTGGGGTGCTGGCGGGCTTTGGGGAGTCCTCATGGCCCCACACTGCTTGTAAACGGGACCAGACTCCATCTTCACCTTCACGTTGGGAGGGACTGCCTGAGAGGGATTGTCTGTTGTCCTGAATGGGGTGTCCAGAGTAGCTCTGTGGGGTCCAGGCAGAGGGGTTGGCAGTGAGGCGCTCTGCTTTCCTTTCCCGCCTGCTCCCCCTCAGAGTGGATGTCCCCGGTGTGTGACCACAGCCCAGTCCCCACAGTGCCTCCGCGCCGAGGTGGGGCCGACGTGGCTCCGGGTGCCTCGCCCCAGCCTGGCTTGGCTCTGCACACTCGCCACCGCCCGCCCGCGCTCTGCTCTGGCTGCACACCTCGGCCTGCGGCCTCCCCCAGGTCCCAGCGCCCTAGGAAGAGCCGTGGCGGGTGGGGGGGTGTACCAAGGGCGTTGTCCGGCTCCCCTGGCCGCCCCTGAGACACCTGTCAGCACTGCAGCCCGGCCTCTGAGCCGGATCGGTGTCCTCTGGCTGTGGGCAAGTTCAGGGAGAGGACGGAGGGCCCCATTGGCATGGGGGCGTGTCTGCCGGGACCCCAGGGCCTGGGGGGCAGGGTCGCGTGTCCTTTGGGTCGCACCAGCCCGCTCATCAGAAGCCACCAAGGTCGAGGCCCCACGAGGAAGCCCTTTGGCCCAGGTCCGGGAAGGAAGTGCTTCCTGGTGTTTTTTTTTTTTTTTTTTTTTTAAGATTTATTTATTTATTTATTTATTTATACAAGCACCGGGTACAGTCCCAGGCGCGGGAGGGTGAGAGGATTCACCAGAGCCAGAGCGGGGAGCAGAACAGGCAGACAGACGAAACACACTGCTGAGGGGAGCAGCGGGCGGCAGGAGAGGTCTGCGCGCCATGTGGGACCCTCGCCCGGCAGCCGGGGATCGAACCGGCGCTGCAGAGGCTGCGGGCAGCTTCGCAACCCAGCGCTCAACCTCTGCGCCACCGGGGAGGCCCCTCCTGGTGGGTTTTTAAAAAGCACCCTTGAGCTGGCCTCGCAGTCCCTTCCTGTGGCCTATGGGGGCTGGAGGGCTGGGCCCTCTGCCCTCAGGGCCGTGCTTGGCTGCGCTGTGAGTTGTGACGTGGCACTTACTCCTAGATTCCGGGGCGCGTTCCCCAAGAAGCAGGCCGTCCTCTCGACAGACCACCTTCTCCTAGACGTGGGTCCCCCACGCGCGCCCCGAGGCTTACTGAGCGAGCGTCCCCTGCACATCCTCTCAGGCCCCTGGCGTCACCCCATGGCCTCCTGGGCGCCCGCCGGGTACAGGCGTGCTTTGTCCCCTGCCGACCCTGACATGAGCTCCCCCCGCCAGGTTGTGCCCAGAGCACGAACATGAGCTGCGAGCAGTGCCTGAGGAACGTCTCGGTGAGTAGCGCGGGGGGCTGGGAGGCCTGTGTTGCTTGCGCTCGGTGTTCTAGCCGTGCTGAACCATCGCGTGACGTGGCCGCCCTGGCCTGGGCGGGAGCCCGCAGTGCGGGGGTGGGGGTGCTGCTGCGGCGCCTCAGGGGTCTGAGAGGCTCCTCGTCCTGGGGGCCTGCCCCGTCCGCGAGGCTCAGCATCCAGAGCAGGCGTCCGACCCGGGTCCTGTGAGTCCCGCGGGGTCTCCAGCTGGGGCACCGGCGTGGGTGGCGCGCGTTGGGCTGGCCGTCAGGCAGCGCAGGGGCGTGGGGGACAGTCCCACCCCACGGATGGGCCGTCAGGGCGCTGGTGGCGAGGGCTGCCTGGATGGGCACCGCGGGCCCCACCTCTCGCAGCCGCAGCCCTGGAGGGAAGGAAGCCCGCGGCCTGCGCTGGGGTCTAGGGTCCCCCTATTTCCCTCCCCCGCCCCGTCTCCGCTGCCTCCGAGGGTGGCCTGGGGGTCTCGTGCTGACGGATGGCGTGAGCAAGCGGGAGGACGTGTCTGGTCACCTCCGTTCCTGACCCGAGCCCCGTCGGCGCGAGGCCCCACGGCTCATGTCCCTGGGGTGCGCCAGGGGAGGCCCGACTGGCTTCAGGGTGTGCCCGGCCGCCTCCAGGCCAGCTCCAGGGCGGCTGCTTCCTGGGCCCCCCGGTGGGGGTTACCGCTGCCTCGTGAGCGGGTTCTCGAGCCTGAGCTCAGCACGCGAGGGACCGGGAAGGTCCAGGGGTGCCGAGCCCGGGCTTCCTCCGAGCCCGGCGGAGCTGCGGTGCCGCCCGACTGCCAGCGCTGGGGGTGGGCGAGGGGGAGGCTGCCGGGGGCACGCGGTGTCCGTCTGAGCCCCGACTGCGCACAGACCGCGCCTGCCGCGCGAGCGCCTGAGACGCGGCACCCCCGTCGTGCGGAGAGCGGGAGGTGGCTCCCGGGAAGGGCGGTCGAGTCACGCCTGCTGGCCCAGGACGGTCCGTGGAGGGCGCGTCCTCTGTGGCCGGGATGGGGGCGGGGGTCATTGCTGTTCCTTGCGCGCCGAGTGTTTGCACCCCGCCCCGAGCGAGGGCCGCCTGGTTCTCCCGGGCCCGGACGGGGGACCCCCAGCCTGCACTGTCAGGACCAGCCCAAGCAGCCGCCTGCGGGTGTGGCCTGGCTGGAGGCAGCTCAGAGGCCATGGAGGACGCGGGTGCGGCCGCGGGGCTGCACTGTGGCGGGGCGGGCATCTGTGAGCCGACGGCCCCAGCGCTGAGCCTCACGGGTGAGCGGCCAAGTCAGGGTCTCCCGGGGCCCTGGTCAGGCCAGCGCCAGGTGCCTGTGGGGGTGAGCGGGGCCTCCCGGGAGGAGGAGCCACGGGCAGGGGTCTGGGGGCTTGTGGGGCGCTGCGGGGCCAGGTAGGGGCCGGCGGGCCGGTGGCTTGGTGTCGCTAGCGTCCCTGAGGCGCCTCCGCGTGTCTTGCAGTGTCTCTGGTGTAGCAGCAGCAACACCTGCCTGGACTACCCGGTGACCAAGGTCCTGCCGCCTTCCTCGCTCTGCCGGCTGAGCGCCGCTCGCTGGGGCGTTTGCTGGGGTAAGTCCTCGGTCCCGCGGCCACTCCGCGCGCTCTGCATGTGGGAAGGCCCGGCGCCGGCTGCGAGAACGCCAGAGCGCGCCCGCGCCCCACGGCAGGCCCGTGTGACCCCGGGGAGCCTCCAGGGATCTGGGGCCCTGCTCCCCGAGTAGGGACGGCGCGTTTGATGGCTCCTTTTGGACGTCTGGGCGGTGGCCACCGCGGCTTCTGTGGGGCTGCCTGCGTCTGTGGCGTTTTGCTCCTGGAACTCGTTTTCGTGTAGTTGGGTTTCGTCTTTATGGCTCCCGGTCTGCGGTCCGGAGGCCCATCAGGGAGCAGTGAGCCCTCGGCGCCGTGGAGAGCGACTTCTGTGGGCGCAGCCTGGGTCACCTGCGGCTTGCTCCTCGGTTGATTTTTCTAAATGGTCCAGCACCCCCCGGGCAGCTGGGGCCGGCCGAGTAGCGGGCCGCTCTCTGGTCACTTGCTGCTCTGCGTCCCGCTGCGCAGTGTGGCTGGGCACCCTGCGCGCTTGGTGGGTGTCTGTGGGTGGACACTCCCCTCCGCTCAGTGCCCCGGCTCACCACCCGCACGTGGGCGGTCGCTCCGCTGTGTCTGCTCGTGCCTCGGCGGACACCTGACCGGGTGTCTCTCGTCTCCTGCTGGTGGCCTTCCCCGTGGTCCCTGCACGAGGGGACTCCTGGGCCCGGAGCATGTTCTCCTCGGCCTCCGTGGTCTGCCTAGCGTGTCTCATGCGTGGCTGGAGCCGTTCACGGTCCTCCACGCGACGCAGGGATCAGTCAGCCCCTCAAGCTGCCCGCACGTGACCTGCCCGGCCCCTCTGGTGGTGTGGGCTGGCGTGGGGCCGGCTCCGATGGGCCTTTTTCCTTAGCCACTGATGCTGCCACATCGTCCTCACTGGTGGACAATTTGGGGGATTCTCTCCTGCAGTGGGGTTGCTCTCTGGGCCTCTGGCGCTGGCCACACGGCACCGGACAGGTGGTCGTATCCTGGGGAGGGGCCACACAGACCTCGGGTCCACGGGGCTGGGAGGGGGTGCGCGCTGCAGGAACGAGGCTGTGTGTTGGGCTGACCCTGGGGCTGGCAGGGGCTTGAGCCTGCTGCTCCAGCTTTGGCGGGACGGGCTGGCCCCCTGGACAGGCAGGTCAGGGACCCTGACGGGCCTGTGAGGCCTCGGGAGCCCCCAGGGTGCAGGTGGCACAGCGGTGACACCAGCCCTCCCACAGGGCCTGCTGCCCTCGCAGGTGGTGCTAGAACCACTTTGTCCGGGTCTGGGCCGATCTTGGGGGAACTTGTTTGCATTAAATGTCTGTGTTCTTGGAGGCAGTGAGGTCTTCGCAGTTTCGCAGCTCTTGTCCTCAGCGGCCTGTGCTGCCTCCCGGCACCGTGCAGCCCTGGAAGCTTTGAGGCTTCTGTGCCACGATGCAGGTCCCTGGGGACAGTGAGGTGGGGGCCCCCCGGGTGAGCCAACGTCTGGGGCTCCGGGGGCCTGACCCCAAGTTTGACTCTCCAGTGAACTTCGAGGCCTTGATCATCGCCATGTCGGTGGTGGGGGGTGTTCTCCTCCTGGGGGGCGTCCTCTGCTGCTGCTACTGCTGCCGCCGGGGCCGAGGGAGCCGGAAGCCAGACAAGAGCGAGGAGCGGGCCATCCGGGAGCGCGAGGAGCGGCGGGTCCGGCAGGAGGAGAGGTAGCACCGCCTTCCTGTTCTCCCGGAGCACGGGGCGGGTCTTGCTGTCAGAGCCCGCCGGCCGGGGCGCCTGGCAGGCTGTGGTGGGGTGGGGCTCCCCACAGTCCTGCGTCCCAAATAAAACCAACCCACGTAACACACCCCTGTGGGGTGGCAGCCTCTGCAGGGCTGGGGCGTAGGCCTCATGAGCTGCACCCCGGTCTCCGCTGAGAACCAGCAGGCCAGCTGCCTGTGCCGAGGGAGCGAGGGGCGAGGCTGGGTGACCTGGGCGTCTGTGTCTTTCAGGAGAGCCGAGATGAAGTCGAGGCATGATGAGATCCGGAAGAAGTACGGTAAGGCTGCGCTGCCCGCAGGCTCAGAGCCCTGGGTTGTGTCCTGCATGGTCCAGGTGGGCTCTGGAGGCCTCAGGCCCTCTCCCGGAGCAGCCCTCTGGGCGACGGCTGCTCTCCGACCTGTGCACACAGCTCCTCCCTGTGGGGCGCCGACAGGCTGGCTTCGGGCCACAGCCCGAGGCCCCTCCCAGCCTCTGGGGACACATCTGCTGTTTGTTAAGAGTTGGTCAGAGCCGAGCTGGGCTGCCGCTGGCCCGTCGGCTCCTGCCCCCGCCCAGTGCTCCCTGCGGGCGGGTTCCGCCCATCTCAGGCCATGCAGAGGCCGTGGCCTCCGGCGTGCCCCAGCCGGGCACCTGCGCCAGACCCCTCAGCCTGGCGCCCCGGCTGCGTGTTTCAACCCACCAGGCTGCTGCTGTGCGAGAGGCCAGACTCCAGCAGGAAAACTGTCTACATTCTTTCCCAATTACGCATTTATTTTGAAACTCTCTACTACGAATTTTAGAGATTTCAGTGGCCCTAGAGAGTCTTTCCCACTGAAGGGGTCAGCCCCAAAGCTCGGTTTTCTCTGGTCAGGGCTCTGGGGCTCTGGGAACCTGCCGGCGACCGGCCACAGCCCCTCTCCTGTCTGCACAGGCCCTGCCGGGTACTGGGCTCGGCCGCTGGTGCAGCTTGTCGCTGGCGTCCTGCCTCCGGCCACCCAGGCCTCCCCAGCCGAGCGCATGTAACTGAGTGTTTTGTTTCCAGGTTTGTTTAAAGAAGAAAACCCGTATGCCAGGTTTGAGAACTGAGAGCCGCCCTTGGGATGCCGCCCTCCCTGCCAGACCACGAGGAGAGTCTGCCTGACCGCCTCTGCTCCCGGTCACTCGCCACCTTGTGCCTGTGGGTGGTGGCTCCGCCCTGTGTTGGGCAGCACCCCCACAGCCCACCTCTGGGCTCCCCACTGCCCGCCCGCGCGGCTCCTCCACCACAGGCAGCACCTCTGTCCTCCCGCCGTGGGGGCGCGGCTGAGGGTTGGTAGAGTGCGGAGGGTGGGGTACCCGGGTCACTCTCGGTCTTTTTAAAATCTTGGTTTTTCTCCCCCGTCCAAAAGATTTCACCAAAAACCTTTGCTGTCAAAGTTCATGCCATTTACTGGACGGCTTTTAACTTGCATCTTTAGAGGAACTAACGGGAGTTTCTCCACAGACACTTGAGTGATGTGTGACTGCTGGGCCACAGGCCCCCCGAGTGCAGCCCCAAGACCCTGCCCGGCGGCGTCACCTGGAGGTGGCGCTCTGCCCAGGGGTGCGGGGACCTGCCTTCCTGAGCTCCCGAGAGGCCCCCTCAAGCCAGGTCTTGTGCTGGTGCAGCTCGGTGGCTCCCTCTCCTGAGGGGAGGCTGGACTCCAGCTAGCCCAGCTGCAACCTAACCACCACTGGTGCCTTTCTGAAACTCAGAAACCCTGGGGGTCTCCCTCAGGGCTGGCTGCAGCCCCTAGCACCTCCTACCCCACACACATCCCTCCCCTCCCCGTCCCGCTGCACCAGCCAGCTCTGCCCGCGCTCACGGACACAGTGCCTGCACTCGCTCCTTCCCGGGCACATCGGCCCCCTTTGAGCCTTCGCGAACATTCCCTCCACGCAGCTGCCGCCTTTGGCTTCCTGCCGCTCGCTCGCTCCTGCTGGATGCAGCGGTCTGTGGGCGCCCATGCCCTGACCCGGCTGCAAGTGGCTGGCGCCCGCAGGGTGTGCAGAGGCCTCTGGCCCTGCGCTTTTTTCAGAGAGAGAGGCGAGCAGCCCAGACTGTGACCTCAGGATGCCATCACATGCCGCGAGCCTTAATTTTTAATCAGTTTCCAATAAACGGTTTAATCGATGTATTTGCTGCATTTACTTGGTGTCTGGTCCACTCAGTCTTGGTGGTGAGCGCCCAGTTCCCTGGAGGGTGTGGGCAGGTGAAGAGGCTGCAGGAGCTCTGTCCTCAAACTGTCCCCGGCCTGCCAGTGGACGGCGAGGGAGGCCTTGACCATCCAGCTCCTGGGGATGCAGGGAGGAGCCCAAGTGCAGCACCCAGGATGGGGGTGTCAGGCCAGCCTGCCCTGGAGAGAACTGCCCTGCACATGGGGCTAGGGGTGCATGTGGACAGGACCCTCCACCCTGGCACTTCTGTGTCCCCAGGGGCCTGGCACCTGCTGTGGGCACCCCCACAGAGACACAGGGCAGCTTGAGCCCCTGAGTACAGGCAGGCGGATATGCCCCGGGCTGGCCAGTGGTGGACAAAGGCCCAGGCAAGTGGGCCGGGGGACCCTGAGGGGTGCCCGCTGTGGCCCAGGCGAGGCTAGTCTGGGGGTCACTCTGGCTGTCCACCCAAAGAAGGGCCGGGGGCTCAGAGGTCATGTGGGGCCACCTGGGAGCAGTTCCCAGCACGTCCCAGCCCCTGCGTGAGGGAGCTGCAGGCGGTGGTGAGGGACGGGCTCTGGCCCTGCGTGGGACCGGCTGCTCCACTGACAACAGGAAAATGAGTTCTTTCCGCCTCTGGCCCACCTTCCAGGCAGCACGGTGCGGGCGGCGCAGCGGACATCGGGCAGTGACACGGGGGCTGCTCGCCCACCCAGGGGTCTCGTCGAGCTGCGCAGAGCAGGCTGCCCGGCGGCTGAGCTCCCGCTTCTCGAGAGCCTGAGTCGCGCGTGCTGGCCGTGCAGAGCAGCCCAAGGCTAGCCTCGCCATCGCCCTGGCTCCCAGAGCGCCCCGGGACACCCGGCCGGTCCCCACGTCGGCCCTTTTCTGCGGCTCCTTGCTTGGTGGGGGCCAGGCTACCTTGGAGCCCCTGGGTGCTCCCATGTGGCTGCTTCCTTTGGGCGGTCCCCCGCCAGCTGCGGGCGCCCTGGAAGGTCATGGACACGCAGGAGGCTGGGCCCCCCGGGCTTCTGCTGCCCAGGCCCGGGCACTGAGGGTGGGCCTTCCTGATGCGCCCAGCGGCCAGAGGAGGCGCCGCGGCAGGTCAGGGGATGCAGGGAGAGGCCCATTTCAAGCTGGCTGACCCGGAAGGGCCAGGCTACTGGCCCGGGACTGGGGCAGGTGGGGACACCCTGTCTGCCACGGCAGCGGCGCCTTCTCTCTGGACTGGGGGGCTGGCCAGCTCTGGCCTCCACACGTCCTCCAGCCCCGCACAGAGGCCGCCAGCAGCCCCGGGGCCCTCACTGGGAGCCGAGTGATGGGGCTCCGGGGGCCCTCTGCTGGGGCCCCCCACCCCCCTTCCGGGAGGTTTCAGGTCTGGCCCTTTGCCGGCCCCCGCCTGCACCCCCCCCGCAGGTGCCCCTTCCGCTGCCCTTCACGCCGCTGCTCACCTGGGGCCTGCCTGGTGGGCCTGGCCCTGCTCCCGCCTCTCTCCCGCCCTCCCTCTGCGCCAGAGCCTCACGTGCCCGCCTGGCCCTGCGTCCAGCAGCCGGGCCTGCTCTGCTCCCCCGGGGTCACGTGGCGTTTCCCCTTCTTTTTCGTGTGTCTGAAATTACTTCCTGAAAGCCCGATGCCGCCGTGGGGGAAGAGCGACGGGCCGGGCAGTCACCTCGGAACCCCCGCTCCTGCTGGCCACGCGGGCGGGCAGGCCTCGGCCCCACCGCCCTCTTCCAGTGTCTGCCCAGGGCAGGGGGTTTGCCTGCGGGGGCTCGTGAACTGCCCCGGCCTGCGCCCCGAGTCTCCTCGTGGGAGAGGCCCCGGGGGCCGGTGTCTGGCGCTGCCGCCCAGTGGCTGAGGGAGCCGCTCTGCGGCCCTGGTCTTGGCGGGGCCTCTTCGGAGCCCCTCTCCCACCGGGCAGGAGACGCTCCCAAGGGCTGGGCCCAGGAGGTGCCGCCACCATCAAGGACAGCGACGTGACGCCTGCCAAGCCGGGCCCCGTGTCCACACCCAGCGGTCAGCCGTCAAGGTGAGTGAGGTTCTGGGCCACACAAGGTGGAGGGAGAAGGCCCGGGCAGGCGCCGCTCAGACCCAGGCACCGTCAGGAAGGGTGGGCTGTGCGGCCACCCCCTGCCCGCTGTTGGCACCTCCGCGAGTGCTCAATGGCCTCACGTGCTCAGACCGAGAAACGCTCCACAGAGCTGAGGTCACTTCTCACTGCCTCCCCCAGCGGCACCTCCTGGTGGCCTCACTGGAGCCACTGCTGTTATGCACATTCTCCACCCAGCCCCCTGGGGGGGCACCTTCCAGAACGAAGGTGGTGCTCACCTCAGGTTCGGCACAAGCACAGACAACCCCACTCAGACGCACACCCCAAGAGGATTTGGAAGGTATCGTGGCCCAAACTGTGAGACTTTCTGGGGGGGGACAGGGCAGGCTCCCACTGCCCCAAGAGGCCTGAGAGCCTGTTTGGAGCCGAGCTGGTTGTGACTGAGGTTCCCACCTGCCAGCAGGTATGCAGCAGCACAGGTGTGCACAGGTGTGCACAGGTGAGCAGGTGCCTGCGTTCCTCTCTCCTCTCTTCTGGGCACACCTGTCTTCCCTCGCCTCCCAGATGTGGGGCAGGAGGGGAGGAGGCCTCACTGTCACATCCGCCTGCCCTGGGACGGGCCAGCCACCGACGGGCTCCATCTCCGTCCGCTTCACACTTGGTGGTCTGGGCTGTTTGAGCTGATGTGGACGTTGTCGCAGCTATCAGCATTTTGCCTTTTTATCCTCTCTGCCTTCGGCATGTCTCTTACAAGCGCCGTCTGCTTCTTGGCTCAGGCAGCTGTCTCCTGAGAGGGCCCGGACACCCTCCTGCTGCCTGACTGCAGGTGCTCCCCACAGGGGCTGCCCCAGGTGACACTCCCACAGAAGCTTAACGGGGCTCCTCTCTCTGCGCCCGTTGAGGGTCTTTTAAATATAAACCTGGTTTTTCCATGCGGATCATGGATGGAAAACTGTTTACATTTTTGAAAATGTCTCGTTTGCCTCCCTGTCGGCCCTTCTTGCCAGTGCAAGGACCTGGGGGCACTTGCTCCCGCTTTCCTGCTGTCTTGGTGGTTTAACTCTACCTTGATTTAAAACACCAAGAGACGGTGTTTTTGGCTCACAGAGGCAGTCCCCGTTGGGGCTTCCCATGTCAGTGCCCTGTGCCTCCCTCCCTGCAGTGCCGCGTCTTCCTCTGGGGCTCTCGCGCTTCACCCCCAGGTCCCCTCTCGCGCAGGGAGGCTCCCACGCCGCCCCTCTGGGCTGTCTGCTTCCAGTCGCCCACTGTATTTGGGGGAGAGTCCGTGACAGGGGTCAGTTAACTTCCCACCCTCCCGCTTCTGCCGCTAAGTCCGATGGAGGCTTCTTGTCCTTCCAGGGTCTTGCTGATGTTTTGTCTTGGGTTTCCAGCAGGTGTGTTATCGCGTATCCAGACTTCTTTGTGGGTCACTCCCTGGCTGGGGATCTAGCTCGTGCTGCAGGAGCTGCAGATAGTTTCATAGTGCTGACGCTTCACCCCTTGTGCCGCCAGGGAGGCCCTCTGCTGGCCTGTTCTTTCTGCTGCTTCTGGGACTCCGCTCCACCACTGTGTCCCAGCCCCCACCATACTGCGCTGTCTCTAGGCCTCTGGCTACATTTCCCTGTATTTCCCTCTGCTTCTGTCTGATTCCTTCTCCAGACCGGCCTTCCAGCTCACAAGCCCTCTCTTCCATGGTGTCTGATCGGCTTGCCCCACCTACTGCTCTCGTGTCGGCCTCTGTCTCTGTGTACACATCTTCACTTGTTTTGTTTCCATAGATTCCACTGCTCTGTTGAACATTCTCACCTGGTCGTCTTGCCGCTGGACACGTTACTTCAGGACACGCTGAGGTCTGTCCGATGGCACCGGTGCCCTGTTCTCCCGTAGGTTTATTACTAACGTGCGTGCACGTAGTAATTTTTTCCCTTTGGTTTTCTTGCCTATTTTCTTTGTTAATTTTTATTTTATTCTGAATATTATGTATGAAAACACTTTAGTTACTGGGAGATGCTGGATGGATGAGGCTATTTTTCTCCAGAGATTCCCTGTTGCTTCGTGTTGGTGTTGCCATGGAGAGTGGACCCGCTTCGTCCTACGCGGGGTCAGCCTGGGTGAGGGCAGGTCCTGTCCACACCTTGCCTTTCTCCCTGGCCCAAGGTCACAGTGCTCCCAGTGGGGGTGGGTGAGTTCCCTGGGAGTAGGCGGTGCTAGTGCTGTCTCCACTTCTTGTCACTGCATATGGCACAGAGTGTGCAGTCTCATGCCCCCACCCCCCGTGTGCAGCAGAGAGGCCTGTGAGGACATGGGGAGAGGTCTGAGGGCAGCCAGGGAGGCCTCCCCAGAAGCCGGCCTTGCCAGGACCTGGCCTTGGACGCCCAGCCTGGACTAGGGGTGTCGGCGCCAGCCTGCGGGGCTTTGTTGTGGCAGCAGAGCTGACCCAGACATCACACACCTCCCCAAGGGCCTCAACGGGAGTCTTCACTTCCTTCTGGGATCTTTGCCCTCCAGCTTCTGTTTTTGTAACTGAGATCTTCAGACTTCCAAAATATTTTGTGCTATTTTCTGGTTGTTTAAAACCATACTAGGGCCTCCCTGGTGGCTCAGCGTTAAAGACAGCGCTATCTGTTGCCAGCCACTGCAGCACGAGTTCGATCCCCCGCCGGCCAGGGAGCAACCCCTAGGGCGCAGGAAGGGTGGGCTGTGCAGCCACCCGGTCTCCCCGCTGCTCCCCTCAGCAGTGCTTTTGTTATAGGACAGGGAGAGAGGACCACCCTGTTGCACTTTCGGTCCGCCTGCCTGTTCTGCTCCCCACTCTGTCTCTGGTGAGTGCTCTCACCCCCCACCTCTGGCCCGCACCCCAGCTCTTGTGTGCGTAAATAAATCCTAAAAGAAATAAAACCATACCAGCTTTATGATTTGCTTAGGAGCCTCATCAACACCATCTGACCCTCTTGTCCTCACCGACTGCTTCGCGTCTCTGTAATGGCGGCACCTGAGCTGCGCCGTCTGTCACGTCTGCGTTACGCCCCCCAGGCGCTGCCCCCACCGCCGCCCGTCCCGCAGGGGCGCGCCCCCCAGCAGCCTCCTCAGCCGCCTCTCCCGGCCCGGCGGGAGCGGGAAGGGAGCCGCGCCCACGCGGGTGGCCGGTACCGGCAGCTCTCCGGGGCGGCGGGCCACAGGCAGGAGCGCCCGAGGGGCCGGGGCTTCTAAACCGCCCGTCCTGGCGCCTGGACGCTTCGCGGGCGCCGCTCCGGCTCTGCGGCGGGAGGGCCGAGCCGCCGGGCGCCCGCCGGGCCTGCCCGAGGACCCGCCCCGCCCGCCGCCCCCGCCCGCGGACCCGCCCCTGCCCGCGCCGGCCGGACGGGCGGAGCCACCGCGGGGCGTCCCGGGCCCGGCGCGGCAGAGGCGGGGGAGGCGCTGGGCGCGGCGGGGCCCCCCTCGGGCCTGGGAGCCCGGCCCGCCCCGGGAGGGAACCCCGCCCGCCCCGCCCCGCCCGGCGCCCCGGACCCCAGCGCCGCGCCCCGCCCCCGCCCCGCCCCGCCCGGCGCCCCCTCCCGCCCCGCCCCGCCCCGCCCCGCGCCCGCGCGCCGCCCCGTGACGCATCCCCGCGGGGCCGCGCCGGCCGGGCGCGCGCCCGCCGCTCGGGGCGCGCGCCTCGTGCACGCGCGCCGCCACGTGACCGGCGCCGGCCAACCGGCGCGCGGGATTTGGGGGGCAAAGCGCGGCCCCGCGAGCAGTTGCGGCGGGAGAGCGGCGGCCCGAGAGCGTGACTCGCCGGCTGCCGCCCGCCCGCCTGCCCCGCCGCCGCCGCCGCGCGCAGCCATGTCCGAGGAGAAGCCCAAGGTAAGGGCCGCGGGCGCCGCCGCCGCCCCGCGCCCCGCGCGCGCCCCCCGCGGCCGGGCGCGGCTCCCGGTGCAGGGCCGGCGTCCGCGGGCCAGGCCCCCTCCCGCGCCCCGCGCGCCCCCCGCCCTGCCCCCCGCTAGGCCCCGCCCGCCCCGGCCCCGCCCTTCGCTCGCCGGCCCCGCCCCCGCAGCCCAAGCCCCACCCAGCCACGCCCTCCCGGCCCCGCCCCTCGCGCGCCGGCCCCGCCCCCGCAGCCCAAGCCCCACCCAGCCACGCCCTCCCGGCCCCGCCCCTCGCGCGCCGGCCCCGCCCCAGCTCCTTCCCACCCCCCTCGGCCCCGCCTCCGGCCCCGCCCCTCGCGCGCCCGGCCCCGCCCCAGCTCCTTCCCAGCCTCCTCGGCCCCGCCCCCGGCCTAGGCCCCGCCCCTCGCGGCGCCCGCCCCGCTCTGGCCCCGCCCCTCGCTCGCCCTGTCCCCGCACGGCCCCCCGCGGGCTGACCCGGCCCTGCAGGCGCCCACCCGGTCGCTGCAGCCCTCTTGTCCCACCCGCGCCTCGGGACCCCTCCTGCACCTGGACCCCCACCAGCCCCTCGCTGCGGTGCCCCCCCCGCCCCCCGCCCCACCTGCAGGCGCCGGCCTGGGCGCGCTGAACCGCCAGCCTGGCTGGGCTCCTCCGGCCGCCCTCGCTGCTGGGCGTCCTTCGCGGAGTCCGCGCCTGCCAGACCCCGGACCCCGCTCCCGCCCGCGTGGGGCGGGTGCTGCCCTGGGGGTCCCCAGCGGCCTGGCCCGTCTGCTGGGCAGCGGCCTCGTCAGCGGCCTCGCGGGCCCCTGGGAAGCCGGCGGCTGCTCCCCACCCCGCACAGGCAGCGCGGGGCCCTGGGGGGTCCCCACCGCGGAGCCCTCGCTTTTAACCAAGTGGAAGCTTTGCTGTTGAGGGCGCGGGTGGTGCTGGACACCAGCCTGGCGGTGGACTGCCCGCCCCCAGCGGACCCAAGCCCGCCCAGGGGCGCCCCGAATCCCCTGGCGCTGGAGCCCGCACCTGCCCTGGGGGTCGAGGAAGGCCGAGGCCGCACTGCGCCCTGAAGCAGCCTTGGCCCTAGGCTCTGATCCCACGCCTGCTTTGTGCCGCCCCGCCACTGCCCCAGGCGGGCCTGGCGCCTTGCCCTCGCTTTCCCAGATGAAGTCCCTTCCTGAGGTTGGAGCAGAGCCAAGCCCCCCACCCCTGCTTTCCTCCCTGCGCCCCGGGTAGGACCCACACAGGGCGAGCCGTTCTGGCCCTGGGGCAGGTGAAATTTGCGGCCCTCCCTGGCCTGGAGAGAGCAGGGCTGGATGGAGGCCAGCCTGGCCACACCGACGCGGGACGGGAGACCTGCGAGTGTGTCGGGGGGACAGGCCTGTCCCCCAGACGACCCTGGACGAACCCGGATGAGCCTGGCCAACTGTGGTTGTAGTTTTAAGGGGCCTCTTTGTTTGCTGCTGAGTCCGGTTCACTGGGCATGCCCAGGCGTCGGGGACAGGCCACGTCTCCTTGGCGCCTCTCCATTTGAGCGGAGGTTTCTAGGGCCTCTCTCACTTGCGCCCCCACAGCTGGCACCCCTTTTTCATCAGCAGCTCCTCTGCTGCCTCGACTGGGTCTGCAGCCACTGCCCTGGCTGCTTTTGTGTCTGTTTTAAGGCACGCGCGTCTTCTCACTAGACAGCCAGACCCACCCAGTCTCTCAGGGGGCGAGGCCTGCTCTGCGCAGCAGCGGGGCTGGCGCAGCGCATCACGCCCCAGCGCGGTGCCACCACAGGAGACGCTGGGGAGCGGGGCGGAGGCGCCCTGACCGTGCGCTCAGCAGTGACGCTGGGGCCTGGCGCCAAGGGCACAAGCATGAAAGAAACACGGCGAGTTGGAGTTCCTGAAACATGAAGAATGTCGCACGTCAAGAAAGACTCAACAGTAAAAGGCAGCCCGCGGGAGGGAGGAAGTGTTTGCAAATCATGTGTCTGATCGGGGGCGCAGCGGAGTATACAGAGGACTCCTGCAGGGCAGCAGGACCCCCCTCCCCTAAAATGGGCCAAGGACTGAGGTGACGTCCGCAGAAAGCAGGCGCCAGCGGCCTCCAGCGGCACCGGGCTCCAGCCTGCTGTCCCCTGGCCAGGGGCGGCCACTCACGCCGCGAGCACGGCTTGGGACACCAAGTGTGAGGGTGTGGGGAAGGGGGAGCCGCAGTGCTCCCCCACGCCCTCGCCGCTCCACGCCCCACAGAGCCGAGACCAGGCCCCGGGAGGAGGTCCGTGCCCACTCCGGGTGGCACTGCTCGCACGGCCAACAGGGAGCGGCCCACTTCCTCTGGGGTGGATGGACACACAGTCCCTGCGGGAGCACCCAGCTCTCAGAGGAGGCTCCCGCCCCTGCGCTGGGGTGGCCTCACCAGGGACACTCCCTGAGGCCGCCCCACGGGCGGTTTCCAAAATGCAGTTCTGGAGGCCAGTACGGACCTGTCCAGCTCCCCGCCCTGTACGTGTGAAAATGGTTGAAGTCCAGATTTTATGCATGTACAGCAGGATCGAAGGCAATGGAAGCCACCCCTGACCCTCCATGCCATGTGGTTCTTCGACTGGACCCGCAGCAGAAAGGACAGCGATGGGGAACTGGGCAGCCTGGTCCCCGCACCGCAGCTGGGGGCCGGGGGCCTGAGGCTCACCACTGCTCTGAAGGCCGGAAATGGGTCCAGAAGAAAACTATTGCTCCGAGGGGCACCTGCACCCTCTGTCTCTAGGAGTGAGGGGTCCTTGCTGTGAGGCCAGCTCCCCGGCCAGCTCCGGGGGCGCCTTCAGGCTCATCGGGGCGGGTGGCTCCGAGGGGGCACAGCTGTGACCACCTTGGCTGAGCGAGGGTGCCCGTGGGGGCACGGGGGTGCTGCTGCTGGAGGGGGCGGGCACTGAGGGCCCCAGCGAGGGGCAGCGCAGCACCAGCGCACATGCGCTTCGTTCACGGTGACTTTTGGGTGGCCACAGAGTGACCAGCCCCTAGCTTTCTATGAAACACGTGACTCTTCGTCCAGGCCCCAGGAGCAGCATTCTGGGGTCTCAGGGCCCCCCAGCTTCTGCTCTTCAGGCCCAGCAGTGGCAGGGGAGGGGGGAACCAGCTGCAGGCATGTTTCCAGGCACCAGGAACCAGAATCGCGCCTCTGAGGCGGCCTTGGGGGAGCACGAGTGACTGGGGGTCCTCTACCGAGGCCAGGCCCTTCTGGGGTGGGGGCCGGGGCCCCTGGGGATGCCTCATCCCTGCGGGTGGCGGCCAGAGCAGACATGGGGCAGGGCCTGCACCCCCCCCACCCCACCCCTGCCTCCGCCTGCCACCCTGGTCCCGCCTGTCCTGGTGTGTGCCCGAGGGCGCCGCCTCACTGGCTGGGTGGAGGCATCTTCGACAGATGTTTGTCGTCCTGTGTTTGTCCAGACCTCGTTAAGCAGATCTCCCCTTTGAGTTAGCACCTCCCTGGTGAGGCCACCTGAGCCCGCGTTTCACCCCCTTCTGGTGGACGCCCATCGGGAGGAGTTGAGTAAATTCTGTGTAGAAATAGGACCGTCACGACCGGTCGGTGGGGGTGTTTGGGTCAGGATTTCTAGGAACACCCGGCGGCCCCGCGGGCTGGCTGCTCTGAGCCGGCCCTGGTCTCTCTTGCAGGAGGGAGTGAAGACAGAGAACGACCACATCAACCTGAAGGTGGCCGGGCAGGACGGCTCCGTGGTCCAGTTCAAGATCAAGAGGCACACCCCGCTGAGCAAGCTGATGAAGGCCTACTGCGAGCGCCAGGTGCCCCCCACGTCTGCGTGTGCCCGCGTGCACGCTCCTCCCGCGGCGGCCTCTCTCCTGGGGGACCCTCTCGCCGGCTCTTCCCTGAGGGCGTGCACGTGCTCCCCGCTGGGCGGCCTGGGCCCCAAGTGCCTGCTGCTGCTGGGCCAGGCGCTCAGCCCCTGGTCCTCGAGGCTGCAGGGGCGCAGCTGCACCCCACTGCTGCTCCTGCCTGCAGGAGCTGGAGCCCCGCTGTGGAGACCTGCTCTCACCCGACCTTGGCTTCCAGAAAGTGCCGGGTCCTTCTCCTTTGTCTGCCCCCGTGCCCCCGGGCGGTTGCTAGCTGGCGCTGTTGGTGTCCCTGTGAACTCGGGCCCAGATGTGCCTCGTCCCTGTCCCGGGCCGCGTCGTCCCCCGGGGCGCTGGTCCACTCGGGGCCGGCCGCCGCGTGCCGGGCAGGTGCGGCTCCTGGCGGGTCCCGGCCAGCCTGTCTTCCGAGGACCGGCTCCCTCTGCTGGAGCTGGCCTTGCTCTGGACGCTCTCCCTCCCGTCGCGGGGACTCTCGCCTTGGGACTTGTGGCTGCCGTCGCAAGCAAACGGCACAGAAGCCCCGTGTCTCTCGCCCGCCTCCCTCGCACGCTGCCCGCAGAGGGCGCGCCCTCATGTTTTTCCCTCCCTCTTGGGAAAAACAGCCTGAGCTTTGGTTTCTCCTGGCTTTGATCTGAGCCGGGACTTCTCTGCAAAAGGGGGGGCCTCAGCTCTGCCCCTGCCGCCTCCACCCACCCCACGGTCCTGCCAGCCGGGTCCGCTGGGTTCTGTCCTGGCCCGGCGCTGCCCAACGAGCCCCTGTGCCTGCGCCCGCACCTGCCCATCTCGTGTCCTTGGTCTGGGGTGACTGTGGTTTTCTGGGTGTCCCCCCCATACACAGGCACCCAACACCCGCCTCCTGGGGTTCTCCCTGCACGCCGGCCCCCGCGCCCTTCCTGGCGCTCCTCTGCCCGGTTCATTGGGTCTGAGAAGCCACGTCCTTCGGCCCTGCGTGTCTGCGCGCCTGGGCAGGGGCGGCGGCGCCAGGCTGGGCTGAGGTTCTTGGCATCGCGGGCGACCTCGGCAGCCTGGGGCTTGTGCTGGCTCTGATGCTTCTGAAGTCTCCGCTGGGTGGTTTCATCACTCACGCCTCTCGGCCCTTCGGCCACAGACTAGTGTCCACTCAGCCGTGACTCCAGCTTGCACAGACAGGCGGCCCCTTAGCTCGGAGGCCTTTTCCCCAGGAGCAGCTGACCCGCTCCTGGACGCCGCCCTGTCCAGGACTGTGTGTGTTGTACGTGTCCCTGTGTCCTCCACCTTCTTCTTTGGTTTGATCTCGTGGGTTTGAGTCTTTTCTCGCGTGTCCCTGACCCTTGCCGAACCCCCCCCATTTGAGAACGAGCCCTCGGAAGCCGACACATAGCAGCCCTCGCACAGCAGAGGGCCGGGTCAGCCCAAAGTAGGCCCTAGGAGGGGCAGTGCCGGGGGGCCCTGATTGGCGGTCAGCTAGCAGCAACCCAAGCCAGCTGCAGCTGCCCCCCGTGCCCGCCCTGATGTGGGGTCCCGGGGCCAGGCCCCATCACCCCTAGAGTCCCGCCCAGCGGTGTGTTCCCCCCACTCTCTTTGTCCTGAGTCATCTCCGGGAGAGGCAGTTTCAGAGCTTTTTCCAGTGAGTTTCTGCCTTGGCCACCCGCGGACCCTCACGGCGCAGAGAGGCTGCCAGCTCTGCTTTTCCAAGGGACGATGCTGGTCTTGCTGGTCTCTCAAGGCCAAGGCCATGGCGCCCACCCCCGCTATGTGGCCAGGTCCTCCCACACAAACTCTGTCTCCTCGTACCTGTTCCTTGCTGAGGACTTTGAAAGCGGGACCTGGGTGTCCCCAGCATGGAGCTCCAGAGGGCTCTGGAGGGGTGAAAGGTGCGTGGGCGGCTGGGGCTTGGGGTGCGGGGGGAGCATCCCTCGTCCACCACGTGGCGTCTGTCCTTTGGGGCTCTGAGAGCCTGACGTGCTGGCTCTTGACCTCAGCCGTGTTGTTGGCTGAACGCCAGCGGTAACTGCTTTCTCTTTCCAGGGCTTGTCCATGAGGCAGATCAGGTTCCGGTTCGACGGGCAACCGATCAACGAGGCGGACACCCCGGCGCAGGTGCGAGAGGCCCGGCTGGAGGCCCGGAGCGCGCAGTGCCCGCGGCGAGCACCCGTGCACCTTCAGGCTCACAGCCATGGGTTATTTCATTGATTCTGAAGTTCAGTTTCTCAAACGAGAAAAACGTCCCTTGTCGGCCAGTGTCCTCCGCTGGGGGAGGGGCCGGTGCCCAGCAGGAGGATGGGGGAGGCTGTGGGCGTGGAGCTGCGTCCACTCAGCTGCTGCGGCTGCTCCGCGGGGCGCCTGATGGGGCTGGAGAGCCCTGGGACTCCAGGGCCCTTCCTCCTTGGGGAGAGCTGGGTGGATGGGGGGCTTTCTCTGCGCCCCCCTTAGGTGCGCTTACACCCCGAGCCGGGTGGCACCAGCGAGGGGGTGGGCCTGCCTGGGGGCGCTGTGGACAGAAAGGGCAGAGGCCGGAGGGCGCAGCTTGCACTGGGCTGTGGCGTCAGAGGCAGTGGAGCCCCCCGACCTCAGGATGTCCGAGGCTGTCCCTTGGCCACACCCGCATCCATGGTGCAGGGGGGTGGCCGGCAGCATTGGGGGGGCATCTCCAGTCTCTTTGGTGTCGCTGCTGCAGCCACAGCACCTCTCTGGGACATGGCTGGGCCTCGTTGCGGCATCGGGGCCGGCGGGGCGTGCCCAGTGTGCCAGAGCAGGAGGGAGGGTGCCTTGTGGCTGTGTGTGCCCCCTCTGCCCTGGCGCTATGGAGAGGGAAGGGGCGGGAGCCAGCAGCGGCCCTCACTGCTGGGGCCCTGCTGGGGCTTCGCATGGGGCACTGCTCCTCTGGCCTCAGGGCCGAGCGCCCCTCAGCGGACATTCTTAGTTGGATTCCGGTCTTGAGTACTTTTCAGTGAAAATTGTAGACGCTCGTTTATTTTTATCGAGACTTCATTCTCCTGTCAGGGTCCTTAGCTCTGACTGCTCTGTGAGTTTTGCGTCCCGACGGGGGTTGGGGGTGTGGGGGGGAGTGCGGAGGCCACAGTGCGCTGGGCAGGACACGGTGCGGGGAGCGCTGGCCCTTCTGTGTCTTCAGGAAAACTAACAGTTCCCCCTTTCCCCTAGCTGGAGATGGAGGACGAGGACACCATCGACGTGTTCCAGCAGCAGACGGGAGGCTCCCGGGACACCCGCGTCCTCTCGGGGTGTGACCAATAGAGGGACTGGCCGGTGTCCCCCCCCTGCATTTGCTCTTCAGTAGTGAACACGTGACCATGCCAATCACCGTGGGGTCTGCGGCCCCGAGGACGTTCACCAGAACTGCTTTCTTCTCTTAGACGGGGGTGTGCCACCCAGGCCTCTGCAGGCTGCCCGCTCGCAGCCGGGAGCCCCGCCCACCGCAGTTGTCTTTGTTTAGGGCCAAGGAGTTGCCAAGTTTTTGGGGTTTGCTTTTGTTTTCACTTTTGTTTTCTCCTTCCTGTGGCCCGTCCCCTTCCCCCATGGCCACCACGGCCGTCGCAGCGCGTGGCCCAGCCTGCTCGCTCTAATCATGTGGGGAGCCCGGGTCCCCTGGTCGGCTGCTTTCATGGGATGCGTTTGGGGGCTCGGAAGGGACGGGAGACAGGTTTTTCTTACTATTTCTTGTAGGCACAGGTTTTTGCAATGCTAAGTACTGCAGATTTAAGTTCTGTCAGAACGTGGCCCAGTGAAGGAAATACTGGATTGCTTCTTATAGGAGAAAGGGAGGGGCCCACGCTGATCAGTCAGGGGCCCGGGCACCTGCTCCCTCAGCATGTCCCCTCGGGGCCCGGGCCAGGCTTGTGGCCAGCTGGGTGGAGGCTGGCACAGAGCAGTGGCTTTTCCCCATCTCCTGTCAAAGACGGCAGTCCCCGTTCTCGCTTGTACTGCGCCTCAGGTTTCTTCCAGTATTTGCTTCCGGTGAGCGACTATGGTCTGCTGAATTGCAGTGGCATTTGTGTGGAAGAGCTGTTGCAGTGTCCCCGAGCCCGCGTGGGGTGACTTCCTGCTCTTCTCGGGCCGGTGCCCTGCTGCTTCCCGATGTCTCCATGTGCGCGGTGGTGTGTGACTTCAGTTCAGTGCCAGCCCAGCTCCGCAGTCCTGACGGTGTCTTCTAGAAGGAGCCCTGCTTCCTCTATCTAGCCGCCTGGACCTGTGACCATACCCATCATGCCTCGCTTGCTCGCAATCTCACTGAAGGCGTGGGTTCACCCCGTGTGTCTTGTGCGGCTCAGTGGGACGTGTCGGCTGCGTTGTGCTTACCCACAAATTTGTACTTCACTTGCCCTTTCCTACTGTAAACAGGAAATATAGTTTGGTACTCTGTCTCTTGGCTCATATCACACACTGGTGTGAGGGTTGGGATGTGCTGCTAGCGCCCACTCAGTGAGGCCACTCAATCTGCCAGAAGGGGAGTTCCGCCTTTGGGGTGCTCCCTACCCTGCTGGTCGCCCAGGTGGCTGGCAGCTCCCTCCTCACCTGTAGCCCACGTCACCATGACAGTTTCCCTCCTGGGCTCCACGTGTAAAGTGATGGTAGGTTTTAGAGGCGGATGACTTTGGACATTAGTCTGGGTGTCTCAGGTTTTTGGCGTTTCAATAAAAAGCTATTTCCTTTGTGTCCCTGAGAACCTATACCCGTCCAGTCTAAACCTGAAGTCAACTGACACTGACCTGCATGTGCCAATTCCTAAGAGGATTTCCAGGGCTGAAAACGATGGAGCCGTTTGTTAGTCAGTTGACATGGACACCTGGTGCCTGCAGGGTTGGACTCACCCCACCAGTGTTGCAAGGACTGAACATTTGCAGGCCCCCTAGGGAGTGTGGAGGGCAGAGTTGCCCAGCACGCCTAAGGAAAGCACTGAGTGGAGGAGGGCACATGTGCGGTGCTGCCCGGCACCCCACTCCGCCCCAGCTACTAGTGGAGGCAGGAGCAGGCTTTGTCTGATAGGTTGTCCTTTATTTCGGAGGTGGATGTCTTTGAAATAATGTCTGCTGGTATTAGTATTTTTTAAAATATTAAATCATACAACCCTTCCATAACCGTTTGGTCCCAAGGGGATGCCTGCGGACATTCACCCTGTTGGGGTGCTTTCCCAGGGTGAGCACATTCTAGGCCGCCCCAGTTCTCAGCTCAGCAGGACATCGCTCCTCGGGCGCAGGCACACGCGGGCCTCGAGCCGGGGCTCCCCCGCAGGGCACGGGTCAGGCCGTGCGGCCTGTTTGTCCCACAGGCTCTCGCTGCCAGGCGGGCAGACGCCCGCTTGTCCCACACCTGCCGCGTTAGAAAGCACCGAGGCCTCCTGCCCGCTGCTCGGGCTCCCGCGCCAGCGGCCCGGGGCGGGCCCCGCCTCGCGGCGGAAGACCTGGAGGCGGCGGGTGGCGCGGCCTGGAGCCGGGAGGGCGCCCTCCATCTTATTTTGGGTGTCCTCTGTCACCTGAAGCCGGGACGAGCCGTGACGCCCGCCGCGCCGCCAGCCGCGGCCGGGCCCGGGGGAGGCGCCGCCGGGGAGGCCGCCCGCGCGAGCAGCGCCGTCCGGGGCGCCGCAGGTCGGCCGGAGGCGGCGCCGGCCCGGGCGTGGGGGGGCCGAGGCGCCGCCGGCCGGATTCCGAGGCCCCCGCCCGAGGCGCGGGCAACGGCGCGGGCTCGCCCCGGGGTTCTGCGGGCGGCTGGGCCCGCGCCGCCCCCGCCGCCGCCTCCCGCGGCCCTCGGCCCGGCCGCCGCAGGAGGGCGCCGGCTGCGGGGGTCGGCGGGCCGCGCCCCACCCGGCCCGCCCGCCCCGCAGCAGGGCGGCCGCCTCGGGCCCCGCCCCATCGAGCGTCCGACGTCACCGCCGGGCGGACGTCACAAGCGCGCGCCTCCGGCCCGGCCCCGCGGGCCCCGAACCTTCTAGAAAGCGGGCCCGCAGCCCGTTCCCGGCCCCGCCGTTCGCCCCGCCGCGCATGCGCGCGCGCCCCGGAAGGGCTTCTGCGCTCGGCGGCGACCCGGAAGCGGCCGCGGGCGGCGGGGCGGGGGGGGGGCGGGGCGGGGCGGGGCGGGGCGGCGCGGCGCGGGGCGGGGCGGGGCGGGGCGGCGCGGCGCGGGGCGGGGCGGGGCGGGGCGGGGCGGCGGGCGCGGACGGGAGCCGGGGAGCCGGGGCGCCGCGGCGGCGCAGCATGGCGGGCACGGCGCTCAAGAGGCTGATGGCCGAGTACAAGCGTGAGTGCGCGGCGCGGGCTCGCCGGCGCCCGGGCTTGGGGGCCGGCGGGAAGGGCGCGCGCCGGGCGCCTCCTGGCGGGGCGGCGGGGCGGGCGGGCCGGGGCCGCGGGGAGGGGGCGCTCGCGCGGGGTTCGCCCGCGCCGCGGCCCTGCGCGTCCGCGCGGGGAGGCTCCGGCCGGGCCTGGAGTGCGCCGGCCGCGGCAGCTGTGCCCGCCGAGTCGCCGTCCCAGCGCGGGAGCCGGCCCGGCCCGCGGCGCGCGGGGAGCGGGGCCCCGCGGCGGAGGCGGGCGGGCGCCCGGCAGGGCCCTGCCCCCCGCGCCGGGGTGAAGGAGGCGCCGCCGGGCGCTTTCCGGGCCCCGGAACCCCCGGGCCCGCCCCGAAGTGGGGCTCAGGGGCCCCGCCCACCGGGCCGCCGCCCCCGAGCGACCTGCGCCTCGGGTCGGCGAGGAGCGGGGGGGCCCCGGGCGGGGGGCTGCCCTCGGGGCCGCTGGAGAGCGGAGCGGCAGGGTGGGGGTGCCCGGGGGCGCCCCTGCGGTTGCCCCACTCGGCGCCAGGCCCCCCAGCTCTGGGCGCCCCGGGGGCGTGCCTGGCAGAGCGTCCTCAGCCCCGGAGCCGGCTGCCGGTCCGGCCCCCGTGGCCCGCGGGAGACGCCGCGCAGCAGCGCGCCCCTGGGGAGCGGGCCCCCCCCCCCCCGCCGCCCTCGTCCCCCGGGGAGGCGCGCGGGGCGAGCGCCCGGCGTGGGCCGTGGCCCGCTTCCTCCAGGCCCGCGGGGACGCCCGGGCTCGCCCCCCGCTGCTGCCCTTCCCGCGCGCTGCGGGCTCCGCCTGGGGGCCCCCGGGAGGCGCGGCGGGGGTGCGCGCCCAGCGCAGGGGCCCTCGTGCCCGGCGCCCCGCTGGGGAGACGGGGCCGGCCGAGCCCTTTCTCCCGCGCCGCCGCCCGGGCGCGCCCGTCTCCCTGCTCGCCCGCGCGCCGCCGCAGCAGCCGGGCCCGACAGCGCCGCCGCCCCGGCCTGTGCCCGCCTCGTGGAGCCGCGCGGCTGGCGGCGCCCGGGCTCCGGGCCGTGGGGGGCCTGGGGTGCGGCTCGCCGTGCGCGGTGCCGGGGGCGGCGGCCGGGCGCGCGTGAGGCCTGCTCGGGGCTCCTCCGCCTGGCGGCGCCTCTGCGGGCCGGTGGGGCCTTAGGCTGCGCCCCGCCCTGCTCCCCGGCCCCGCCCGCCCGGGGTGCAGGGGCCCGCGGTCCCCCCAGTTCGCCCAGGGGCACAGCGGGGTGCCGGGAGCCCGCGCCCCCCTGGCGGTTTGCTCCAGTTCTGGGCGGCCGCGGCACCTGCGGGCCCCGCGAGCGTCTCTGGACGCGCCGCCCCCTGCGTCCCCCTGAGGACGCTGCCGCGGTCCCCGGGAGCTGCTGTTCGGGGGGCGCGGTCGGGGGCCAGTCGGGGGCGCGCTGTGAGCTGCTTGGTGCTCCGCGCCCCGTCGGCCTCGGCGCCGGGAGATGGGCCCATCGGGCGGGGGGCGGGGCTCCCCGCGCGGCTTAGCCGGGGTCCCCGCGCGCGCCTCGGGCCCAGGAAGGAGGAGCCGGGCCGCGGGAGGGCCGGCCGGGTCCTGCCTGTGCCCGGAGTCCGGCCCGGCCGGCGTCCGCGCTGCCCCCCGCCCCGGCGCGGCGCCCCTCGGGGCCTCCCCGGGCGAGGGGCCCCTCGGGCCAAGGCGAGCGCTGTCCCCGCAGGAGAGACGCTCCGGTCCCGGCCGAGGCCTCGTGCAGCGGCCCCCCGTGCGGTTGGCGGCCTCGGGGCGCGAGCCCCCGAGGTTTTTGCCTTTCGGGGCTCCCTGGCGCCTCTCGTCTCGCCGCCCTGTCCCCCGGTGTCCCGCCCGCCATCCTCCCCCTGCCCCCCCTAGGGGCTGCGGCTCGGGGTGCCCCAGAGACCATGGGGTCCGCACCCGCTGGCTGGGGGCGCCTGCCCTGCGGACACCCTGGGGGGCGGGGCCCCCTGCGGCCTCGTGGCTGCCCTGCAGCCAGCGCTCTTGGCGTCATGGGGGTGGGGGGGGGACGGGGGACGGGCCCTCCTGGGGTACTTGTCGTGTAAACAGCCGGGGGCTCTGCGCGGACCCTGCCTCCCCGGAGAGCGGCGACTTCGGAAGCCGGAGCGACGGTCCTTCCTCGCGCCGCTGTGTCCTGCGTGGCGGCGGCAGCCGGTGGCGGCCATTGCGGGCACTTCCTGCCGTGATTCCGTCTTGACACCCCGTGCCGGCCCTCTCGTCTGGGCCCTGCCCTGGCCGGTGCCAGGCAGGTGTGTCTGCGGCAGATTCCCACGGATGGCGGGCGCCGCCCCAGGGCCCGGGCCATCCTCCTGCTGGCCCGGCCTCCGGGCCCGGGTTGCCCTCCCCGAGGGCAACAGCTGCCTCCCGTGCCCTCCTGTCGCCGGTGTTGGCTGCATGTCCCGGCCCCCATTTCTCGTGGCTGCCCTCGGCCGCGAGGCAGCGCCCTGTCCCGTGTTTCCAGAAACACACTCGTCCTGCGCTCGGCAGCCCGCCTGGTTTGCAGTTTCCTGCACTTTCATGAAACTGGATCCGCCCCTGGCCTGGCCTTCGCTCACCGCCTCCGTGCCTGCACGGTGCCCTTCGCCCTCAGCGGGCGCTGGGGGCGGCAGAGGGCGCGGCCCGCGGGGCACTGGGGAGCGACAGGCGGCTCCTCGTGTGCCTGACGGGGTGTCTGGGCTCTCAGGTCCTCGCTTCTGCGGGTCTCAGCCCCGTTCGCGGGCTACACAGAAACGGCCCGGGCGCGGCCGCAGTCTGTCGGGTGGGGCTCACCCCCGGGCAGGAGGTCGCCTTGCCGAGGCGCCCCGCGCGGATTCCCTGTCTCGTGACGCTCCTCTTTGCTTCCACAGAACTCACGCTGAACCCCCCGGAAGGCATCGTGGCAGGTGAGGCGGTGCCCCAGGCGCCCTGCGGGTCCCGGGTGCGGAGCTGCCGCAGGGTTGAAACGTGGACGTTCCTCTTTCCCCGCAGGCCCCATGAACGAGGAGAACTTCTTTGAGTGGGAGGCCCTGATCATGTAAGTCCCGCGGGGCGGTGCCTGCGCAGGGGCCTGTGAGGCCCTTGGGTGTGGGCGCTCAGGGTGGCCTTGACCTTGCGCTCCCCTGGTCCCAGGGTGGAGCAGCACCGGCACGTTGTTGCCCGGCACCAGTGGGGGTGCAGCGTGGGCAGCGCTATGGGGCTGCGCTGGGGCGGGGCGCTTGGGGGCCCGCTGGCCTCCGTTTCAGGGGCCCAGGGAGCCGAGGCCTGGTGGCGGGCTCCCGCGCCCCGCGTCCCTCTGTGCTGCTGTCTCTCCTGGCCCTGCCGCGGAGGCCCCGCCTGGGGACCACGCCTGCGGAATCTGGGTCGCGGTGGGGTCTCGTGGAGCCCGAGCCAGCGCCGCAGGGCCGCTTCTGGGCGGCCGCCTCCCTCGGGCTGGTGCCGCTTCCTCGGTGTCAGCGCGCGTGGCCCGAGGGTGTCTCTGCAGCCGGCGTGGGGCAGACGTGCCCAGGGCGTGGCTGCCGGTCAGCGGCCGGCCCAGGTGGGCAGTGCCCACGTGGCTGCCGCGTCCCCTCAGAGCATCAGCGGTCGGTGGGCGCGTGTGGATGCCCGTGAAGGGACCCAGCCCCCGGACAGGTGCGTCTGGGGCGTCGCTGTCGAGCACCTGCGGGGCGGACTAGTCTCCCTGTAGGTGAGCGCTGTAAGATGAGGCCGGTGTTGGGAGACCTGCCTTCTGGAGGGGGCGGGGGCTGCGTCTGGGCGGCTCCTGTTTGCGGAGGCCCGGTGTGGAGTTCCCCTGCTGCAGGGCGCGGCTGCGGGCGCTGGCTCCGTGCCAGGCCCTTTCACAGGCAGGAGCCCGCGCACAGAGGACTGGCGCACCTGCCAGGGAATTAACCGTCCTCAGAGGAGCCGGGCCCGGCCCGTCTCAGCGGGTGTGGCGAGAACGTTTTCTCAGGTCCACGCAGCACGTCTGGGGGCCCTGGGCTGTGTCTCGGGGGCAGGCGTGTCGGGGGGACCCCATCTCTGCCCCGAGAGAACGAGGTCGAGGATGGCGCGTCAGTAGAAGCATCGCGGGTCCAGGCCGCGTGGCCGAGCTCCGCTTGTGAGCAGATGGCCCTGACTCCGTGGGCTGCCCGCGCCCCGGCTGTGTGGCATGGCGGATCTGCTACCCCAGGGCCGTCCCGCCCCCTTTTGCTGTAGGGGTCAAAACAGTGGGGTTCAGCCTCCCTTTTGACAAGTGCGTCTTGTTCCACCTCTTCCTGTGGTTGCCTGCCCGTGTTTTGGGGGCTGATGTGGCCCTCGCTGTGGAGGGGTGACCTCGCCATAAAGGCCAGGTGGCCTGGGGCCTCCCTGCTGCCCCTGCCTGTCCGGCCGGGAGCTGGGGTGTGAGTCCCCGGCTGTCCTTCCTGCCCTGGGCACGTCTGTCCGCCTGAAGCCACGCCTGCTTGTCGACCTCTGCAGCGGCTGGGCTGGGAGCTGACAGGGTTCCCCAGCCCAGAGTGTCTCCAGAACCTCGGCCCCTCGAGGCCCCGCTCGGCAAGACCATGTTACGTTTTTACTTTTGTTTTACACATACAAGAGCTGGCGCGGGGGCCTCCCCGGGGGCGCAGCAGGTTGAGCGCCGCGCTGTGAAGCTGTCTGCAGCCTTTGCAGCACGGGTTCGATCCCGGCCACCAGGGAGATTCCCACATGGCGCGCAGACCTCTCCTGCGCCCGCTGCTCCCCTCAGCAGTGTTTTCGGTCAGTCTGCCTGTTCTGCTCCCCGCTCTGTTTCTGGCAAATTCTCTCATCCTCCCGTGTCTCTGGCCTGTACCTGTTTTTTTTTTTTAATTAAGGTTTGTTTTATTTTTATACAAGAGTTGGGGTACAGGCCAGAGGTGTGGAGGGTGAGAGGATTCGCTAGAGACAGAGCAGGGATCTGAACAGGCAGAAGGACCTCAGTACACTGCTGCGGGGAGACAGGGGAGGTCTGCTGCGCCATGTGGGAAGCAACCTGGCCGCCTGGGGATGGAACTTGTGCTGCAGAGGCTGCGGACAGCTTCATAGGTTGCGTCTTCACCCCTGCGCCCCCAGGAAAGTCCCATGTTACGTTTTTAATTTAAAAGTGCCCCAGCTCTGTGGGTGAGGGGCTCTTAACTTGCCGCCTGTAGAGAGAAGCTTGGGAGGAGCAGCAGACTGGGCTGGGGTTGCCTCACGGTGCCTGGGGGGCTGGGCAGGGGCTGGCTTCCTTTGTGATCTGCTCGTGTATTGGGGCGTTTTTTCTCTCACGTGTGTCGTATGTTGCACGTTGAGTGAAGCCAAGGCTTATGCTGCAAAAGCGACCGTTTCAGAAGCCCCTGAAGTTCTTGTCATCGGGGGCCTGTTTGGACACTAAATTGACGTGTGAGCTGCAGCTGAGCGTTTCAGAGAGGACTGTGTTGCAAGAGAAAAGTGGGGTGCTAACAGATTTAACCTTGAAAATAACGATGCAGATGGAAACCCATGTTTGCTGCCCACGATGTCCCGAGCAGAGGCCCTGTCCCTCCTGTGGCGTCCAGGGCTGCGCCTCACCCAGGCGGGCGGATGTGGACAGAGCGCGCGGGCCCCCAGCGCCTGCTGGCCGGGTGGTAAGCTCCCTCCCGGATGAGCCCCCCGGTGCCAGGCTATGCTCTCCGGGGCCATGACTCCCACTGCCCGGTGCTGCATTTTCTACCAGAACCTTCCCTGCAGCGTCCCTGCCTGCCCCAGGCCTGTGGACACAGCAGAGTCGGGCCCGGGGCCTCTGCAGCACCTGGGTTGTGGGTACAGCCACCTGTGGGGTGTCAGGAGTCATGGCTGAGTGGCGGCCCCGCCTCAGGTTGTGGGGTGTTTGTAAGCGGGGCTTCTGCTCTGTGCCCAGGAGCTTGTGAGTTTGGGGAGCGCTGCTCTTGGCGCTGCAGTGCGGCTCAGGTGCTGCCGCGGGTGAAGCTTGTCTCCGTCGGCTCGAGACGCCCGTCCAGGTGCAGGGATGGGCCTGCACGGCGGTGGGGCACAGCGGCGAGTATTGCCAGCTGCGCACACCTGCCCCACGGGAGGCGCCGCATCGGCGTGGAAACGTGCGCGAAGAGCAGCTTCTCCTGGGCTTCACCGCCTCCCAGTCTCCTGGTCCCCGGTGGCCGCCCGGGCCGGTGCAGCCCCCCATCCCATGGCCCACGGAGTGGGTGTTGTTCGGTGGAGGCCTGGGTGCTGCGTCCTTGGTCTTGGCTCCTGAGTGGGAGCCCCTTGGCCCAGCCGTCTGGGCCCAGAGCTGTCAGGCGTCCCCCGGGAGTCGGCGGCAGTGCGCAGGCCTCACGCCTGCTGTGGGTGGGTTTGCCCCGCGCCCTTCCCTTGCCGCTGGAGGTTTGAGACGAGGCCTCTGCTGAGGGAGGCCGCAGTCATGCTGTGTCGCAAGGGGACTGCACTGCGGTCATCCCCACCACGTAGCCACCTGGACGCCCCATCCGGGCACGGGGCTTGGCTCCCATCGCAGCGGCACTGAGTGGCCGCGATGCCCATGCTGCTGGGGACTCCAGGCCTCTGTTGGCGACTGTTCTGATTTTGAGGAAGCTTGACTGTGAGGGCTGAGGCTTGACTGGGGGTGAGGCTTGACTGGGGGTGAGGCTTGACTGGGGGTGAGGCTTGACTGAGGAGTGGGGCTTGACTGAGGAGTGGGGCTTGACTGTGAGGGTGAGGCTTGGCTGTGGGGGTGAGGCTTGAATGTGAGGGGAGAAACTTGACTGAGGAGTGAGGCTTGATTGTGGGGCTGAGGCTTGACTGTGAGGGTGAGGCTTGGCTGCGGGGCTGAGGCTTGAGTGTGAGGGGAAAGGCTTGAGTGTGAGGAGTGAGGCTTGAGTGTGGGGCTGAGGCTTAGCTGTGGGGGTGAGGCTTGACTGTGGGGGTGAGGCGCCGTCACCAGTTGTTACACAGCTGCCGCCGGCTCACCCCGATGCTGCCAGGCCTGTCTTCTCACCCAGGTGGGCAGTGACCTGTGGCAGGGCCAGCGCTGAGGCTGATGGGGCCTGCCTGGCTTCATAGGAGGCGGGTGGTCCCAGGGCACGTCTGCGTCCCGGCCTCCTGGGAGGAGCTGTGCCGGGCTCACCCTGCGGGTGGCCGGTGCTTGGCCAAGGTCACGGGCTCGCCGTGGGCACATGCACCTGCCCTCAGCAGGTCGGATTCCTTGTGAGATGTGCACAGGAAGGGGGGGCCTCTGAAACGCCAGGTGCTCTGTGAGCAACGCTGGTGAGACGCTGACCCCTCCTGCCGGCACCGCCTGCTCGGGACGTCGTCGGTCTGTTCCCGGGGAGTCTTAGGATGAATGGGAGCTGCAGCGTTGGCCGTTTCTGCCACTCCACGGGGGTGTGGACCCGGCGAGAGGAGAGGGCCGCCCGCCGGGCCCGAGCGTCCCGCCCCAGGCGCCTTCCGCGCTGGCTGCACCCACCGGGTAGCAGCCCGGCCGCCCCTCGTGTGGCGTGGCTGGGTCTCGCCGTGCCGTGCGCCTCCGAGGCGCGTCGTGCCGGGACGACAGAATGCACGTGCGGGGCCTGCAGGCCGGGGTGGCCCCTGCTCTGTCCTCTGACCCCTTTCCCGGGGAGCTCGTGACAAGAGCGCGCCCCGGCTTGGGCTTGCTCTTTAGATTCGAGTGGTGGGCACGGCGCGGTGCCTGGGCTGCTCCTTCCGAGGAGAGCGCCGGCTCGCCCTGGGCAGGCCGGGCCACGAGCCCTGGCCTCCTTCCGAGGCGCCGTGGACGTGGGGGCTCTGCTTGAAGCGCTGCGTCTCTTCCGTGTCTCCCAGGGGCCCTGAGGACACCTGTTTTGAGTTCGGCGTTTTCCCGGCCGTCCTGAGCTTCCCGCTGGACTACCCGCTCAGCCCCCCGAAGATGCGCTTCACCTGCGAGATGTTCCACCCCAACAGTAAGCGCCGCGGCTTGGCCGGTGCGGGAGGAGGGTGGGCCCTCGGGGAGGACGCGGCGGGAGCCTGGGCTGGGCGCGGGGGCCCTCCGTGCGCTGCGTGGGGCGGCCTGGCGCGCTCGGGCGTCGGGGGCGCTGCCGTGACCGCAGGTGATGAGGTGAGTGTTGCGGCCACGCGGTGCTGTCCGGCCATGAGGCTCTCCCGCCAGAGACGTGCAACTCGGGTGGAAAGAGGTCTGGTCCCCTGGGGAGTCCCCGCGCGGGGTGAGAGGCCTCTAGCCGCGGGGTCGGCCTTGCGTCCTCTGCGGGCGGGCGGCAGGGAGGGCTCGGCGGGACGCGTGTCGCGGCTCGCGGGCGTCTGCCGACGGGCGGACTTTCTCATTAAACGCGTGGGCGCCAGAGATGCTGCTCTAGAGACGTGGCGCGCTTGCTGATGCCAATTCCCTTCCCCCACGTGGCCGCCTGTCCAGCAGCTGGGGCGCGTGCACCCTGCAAGGCCTCATGAGCCTTTTGCTCCGGCCACACCCTCGCTGCTCTCCCCGGGGCCCCGGGACCCCTGGGCTTTGGGCTGGGCCCGGGTCCCCTCAGGAACTGCGCCTCCGCCTCGTGCCAGGTCAGTGCTGGGGGCGCTTCACGCCGTGTCCTCAGCGGCCGGCCAGACCCAGGCCCCCGTGCTGCCGGCCACTGGCGTCTGGGCCCTCCCTGGCCGGATGTGGAAAGCTGGTGGCGGTGGGCAGAGCCCGTGCGAGGATCGGGCGGCAGCAGGGCCTTGGGGCCAGGGCTGGGGCCTTGCTGAGGGCGGGCGACCCGCGGTCTTGGTCTTGGAAAAGCTGTTTTCCAGAACCGCCCTGTGGGGTCACTGGCAGCAAATGGGCTCGGCCCGTACGTGCCCTTCCAGGCGGGTCAGCAGGCCGGGCGCCTCCCCCCGCCGCGCCCGGGCTGGTGCGGGTGCTCCCGAGCGAGGGCGAGTCGGGACGGGGGCACGTTCCTCTCCGCGGCATCACGGGAGGGGCCGAGTCTCCCCGAGCCTGCGAGGGCGCCCGGCGTGTGGCCCCCGGGGGCTGCGTGCGGCAAGGGGATCAGCTGAGCCACTCCCGGGGTCGGGCGGCGTTTCTGCGGGCCCTGCGATGAGGGGCTCACGCTTGTCTGTCCCGGCATCTCCCCCTGCAGCCCGCAGCGCGGGGCGTGTGGGGCGGGGACTTGCTGCCTTGGCCCGGCGCGGCGGCGGGGGCCCTGCGAGGGGTGGGCTCAGGGCAGAGCAGAGCCGGCCTGGCCGCTGACTCACCCGCCTGTGCCCGCAGTCTACCCCGACGGGAGGGTCTGCATCTCCATCCTGCACGCGCCCGGCGACGACCCCATGGGCTACGAGAGCAGCGCCGAGAGGTGGAGCCCGGTGCAGAGCGTGGAGAAGATCCTGCTGTCGGTGGTGAGCATGCTGGCAGGTGAGCCCCGCCCGCCCGCCCGCCCCGCGCGCTATCGGCTGCCGGCCGCAGTAGGGCGCCCGCTGCAGAGCGCAGATTCCGGGGGATCCGGGCGCAGAGCCGGGCGCCCCATGCTGAGGGAGCGTCCAAACCCGGCAGTGCCCGGCTGTTGGCAGGGGCGCGTGTCCTGCTGTCCTGCTGTGTCCGGGCCTCGCGTCCTTCGAGGCTTGTTTGGGCGGCGCGGTCTTGCCCGAGAAGCTGCGGGGCCTCTGCCCGAGCCCAGGCCGGGCTGCCTCTGACGCTGCCGCGGTGTCGCCCGCCTGTGCGGGGAGGAGCCTCTGACGCTGCCGCCCTGTCTCCCTCTCAGAGCCCAACGACGAGAGCGGGGCGAACGTGGACGCCTCCAAGATGTGGCGCGACGACCGGGAGCAGTTCTACAAGGTCGCCCGGCGGCTGGTGCAGAAGTCCCTGGGACTGTGAGCCGACGTTGGGCCCGCCCCAGGGTGTGGACGCTGGACGCTGGGTGTCCCTGGCCCCGGTCAGGGGGACTGTCCATGCCGCCACAACTACCTCCAGCAGGCACGCCTGCGACCCACTTCCTCCCAGTGTGGGGCGCCCGTGCCAGGCCCACCCCTTCTGGAGACCCATCTGCGGCAGGGCCCCCCCAAACCCCCTCCCCGTCCCGCTCACAGCGGGTGTCCCTCGTGTGTGTCGCAGACCACGCAGAAGTGGAAATAAAGACTCGTAAACACAGCTGACGGGAGTGGGGTGTGCAGACCCCCTGGCTGCCGGCGGGGGTGTCCTGGCCAGCGCGTCACCGGGCACTGAGTCCACAGGCCCTGGGCGGAAGGCAGGTCTGGCTCCCGGGGCGGCCTCCACACTGCCCGCGTTGCAGCGCAACCTGCGCGGCTGTCCTTGCGCCGGCAGGTGGAGGTCTGGGCAGCACCCGCCTTGGCCCAGCGCAGGGCCAGCCCTGCATCCGGCTGCGCTCCCCGCGTCAGCTGCGGCCAAGCGCCTCTCGGCCTGTGTCTCAGGCTCCGTTTAAGTAGAAGTTCTAGAAAGTTCTATGTTTGGAGTGGGGGTGCTGCAGGACACATGGACAGCGCCCCGCTGCCCTTTCCCTCCCGACGTGCCGGCCATGCACCGGCGCCTCGGACCTCCTGGCGCCAGCAGCCCTGCCGGAGGGGGCAGCAGGCCCTTCCTCCGCAGGGGCGGGGACACCCGCAGTTCGGCGGGAGAACGCGCGTCCCGGGGCCAGCCCTGCCCGGTGTCGCGGGCAGGCTGGGTTGGCCTCGCCAGGGCTGTGCTCGGGGCGGGCTCTGCAGAAGCGTTTTTATTCGTTTGTATTTATTCAGCGGCCGCCGGGAGGGCCTGTCCTCGTGCCTCTCCCGTGGGCTGCGGCGCCACCCTAAAATAAAGTCCCGTTTCCTGCTCCGCTGCGTTGCCGTGTCTGCTCGTGTGACCCCCACTGTCCGCCCCTTGAGCTTGGGGGCCCCGTCTTCCCTCACGGCGGGTCCCTGCAGCGGTTGCGGTGCCAAGGCCTGAGGGCACCTCGTCCTTGCGGGAGGCCCTGGAGCACCAGGTGCCTGCTTGGGGCCCTGTGCCTCCCGGCTGGGGGGCCCTGGTCTGTGCGGGGCGCAGAGAGGTGCACCAGCCGAGGGCAGGTGTGGGGCCGCCAGAACTCGGGTGAGGGCATGGCGGGGAGGTGCGTGGGGAGAATAGGGGACGCAGGTCAAGGACGGGAGGAGAGCCCTGGAGCTGAGCTGGGCTGGGGACCCAGGCGTGCGCCCCCAGACCACCCAGGTCCCCCACCCTAGTGCTCAGCAGCCCCTTCAGGCCCTCCCAGCCGGGCCACGGGCAGCACTGGCCTGCAGCCGGGTTGTGAGCCCGCCGTGCCCAGGGCCCTCCGCCGGGGCAGCCTGGCTTCCGCCCCGGCCCTCCAGTCGTGCTTGGGGCTGGTGCCTACGGGGCCAGCTCAGCGCCTCGGCGGGGCTCCTGCAGGCTGGACTCCGGCAGGCGGACGCCTCTCGCACCAGGCGCCGTTGTCCCCCGTGGCCCTGCTGGCCGAGGGCTGCGCTTGAGCCAGAGGCCGGTCCCGCTGACCACGGGCGGGGGTGGGCTCAGCCCCTCTGCCCGCCGCTGGAGGGTGGGTTCGCACGGGCTGTCCACGCGGAGGACATGCAGGCCACGGACCAGCTGGGGCTGCGCTGACGGCGCGTGGGTTGGGAGTTTCCGGCGCGGCGGACGCCGTGGGTGGGCAGCGAGTGAGTGGGTGGGCAGCGGGCTCTGAGGCAGCTGTGCCCGGGCGTCCTTGCAGTGGACTGCCCGCGCGGCTGCTCTATGCGGGGCTCAGGCCTTGTCTGGGGGCTGCCCCATCGCCACCGAGCGCTGCGGGGCAATGGGGCTGGGGTGCTGGGGCCGTGAGGGCCGGTGGCCGAAGGGGCCTGGAGCAGCCTGCGGGGTGGGGGGCTGAGTCGTGTACGTCGGAACCGCTGCGGCCCCGGGCGGGCCCCTGGAGCTCGCCTCACCCGGGGGGGCGCGGGGGTGCAGCCGAGGGAGGGTGCCCACAGCCCCCAGCAGGGGCCCGCCTGTGGTGGCTCCAGAGCTGGGGAGGCGCGGTGGCGAGGCCTGTGGCGCGGCGTGTGCGTGCGCGTCGGGCTGCCGTCCTGGCAGGGCCCCGGGCTGGAACCAGTTCAGGGGGAAACAGGAGACGAGGGATTGTCTTCTGCTAACGGGGCTTTGAAATCGGGGCGATGCACCAGATGGGCTGGAACCACATTAATCGGCTGCGACTCCGGGCAGAGCTGCCGCCGGGCTCCTCGCGGGTTTTCCCTCCTGGACTGGGTCCCGTGAGGGGGGATGGGGCGGCTACAGGCCCCCCAGACCTCCGGGCGCCGCCTCGCTGAGCACAGCCCTCGCTTGTCATCCCTGTGCACACGTGACCACACGTGTGTGCCGCTGCCGTGTGCACACTCGCCTGCGCCCCGGGGCCTGCCGCCTGCTTCCGTGTCCCTCCACCCTCGCCCCCCCACCCTCCCGCCTGGCGGCACTGCTGAGTCTGTGGCCACCGCCCGGGGCAGGTGCTGGCCTGGTCAGGAGCGGCGTGGGCTCCAGCAGGTGCCCAGCCAGCTCCCTGCCCTGGGGTCCTGGGCGAGTGGCTGGCCTCCGCCGAACGGCTTCTCCATGCAGCGGCCACTGCGCGGTGGGGACCGGCCCGAGTCTAGAGGGCTGGGCGTTGTCCCAGGGGCCACAGCCCTCCCTGTCCCCCCAGTGCCTCCTGCACCTGCTAGCCTGGGAAGGGAGTCCTACTCGGGGTGCTGGTGGGGGTGGGGTGAGCACTGGGCTGTGTGCTGGGAGGGAACGGCGGCAGTTGTCCTGGGAGCAGGCACCTGGCGGGGGGCCTCTGCCCCCCTGGGGACACTGGCCTTCCTCTAGCGGGGAGTTGGGGGCCCTGTTTAGCCCACCAGGTGGCTGCTCTCAGGGAAAGCTTATTTCCTGACGTTAAAGCCACCCAGCTGCAGGCTCTGCGGAGGACCCCGCACCACGTTTCAAGCTCTGTCCATCTGTCGGCCTTTGACTGGCGTGGCCTGGTCGGTGCCCAGCTGGTCTGCGAGCTCGTTCTGCAGGGCCCACACGGGCGCTCCGGCCAGCGTCCTGACCGCATGGCTGGGCCCTGCGGTCTGGATGGCGCCCCGGGAGGCCACTGCCTGCTGTCCGCACGCGCGCTCACTGGCCAGGCCACTCGGGCTTCGGAAGGACAGGGTTTCCTTGACAAAGGGGAAGCTAAGAGCCCCTGAGGCCGCGCGCGGCTGCCGTTTCGCCCAGGTGGCGTCTGCAGTGGCCGGGAGTCCCAAGCGAGGCCGCTCGCTGCAGAGAGCGCGTCCAGCTGCTCGGGGCCCCCCGGGGATCCAACTTCACTGTGTGCAGGGTCCTGGCCGCCCCGGGGGTTTCTGTCTCCCCTCGTCTGCGTCTCGTGTCCATCCACGGCTCCAGGGATGGTGTCATGTGCACGTGCTGTTTCCGGGGCCGCCAGTGCAGGCGCCCACCCCTGGCCTCTGCGAGGCTGCTCTCACGGCGGCCCCGACGGTGCCTGGCGCTCCCGCTGCTGCTCCTGTTCTGGCCCGCGGTTGGGCGCCTCCGAGCCCGGGCGGCATCTGCACGGGGCCTGGCATCTCCCCTGTCCCTTCGCTGGCCACGGCTGTTGGGTCCATGACAAGCTCGACGGCAGCTCTGCCTGGGCGTCCTCCAGCCCCGTGGGCCCAGGAGGTGCTCGGCTTGGGTCGCCGGCCTGGCCCAGCGGGCGCTTGTGGGCACTGCCCCCTCCCTGGGCCTGTCTGGGCGCAGCCGGCAGCAGGACCGCGTGGGCTTGTCCGGGGACCCTGCCCCAGCTCTGCTCCCCCAGGGCCCCGCGCATTTCTACTGCTGCTGCCCTTGGCTAGGGTGGAGCTCCCCGAGTTCCCTGTGGGGGACCCTGTGTCTGTGCCCGGCTATGTGGAGCCTCCCAGTCTGTCCTCCCCTTTGCTGGGGTGACAGCGGGGGCAGGGCCTGCTGGCCTCACCGGAGTCTGTCCCTTCTGGCTGCTCAATGGGTGCCGGGGCCCAGGCCTCCTCCCCGTGCCTCAGGCCCCCTTGCTGAGGACGGCCCTTGGCTTCCAGACCGTCTCTGTGCAGCCCCTCCTCTGCCCTCCCTGCCCGCCCACCTCTGCCTGCCCCGCCTGTCCCACCTCTGTCCGCCCCCGCCTGCCCCACCTCTGCCCGCCCCCGCCTGCCCCACCTCTGCTCACACCCTTGCCGGCAGTCAGCTCGGCAAGGTGGGGGCTCCTTGGGGTGGGTGCTGGCGCAGCTGTCTCAGGCCCCCCTCCCTGGTGCCGGCCGCACGCGGCCCTCATCTGCTGCTGGAGACGGGGCCTGCCCCGGGGCTGGGGGAGACAGGAGCAAAGCACCGGCCCAGGGCTGCGGGCGGGGCTGTCGGGTGAGCAGTGGGCGCTCACGGGCTCGGCCTGCTTGTCTGCTCTGTAGCGCTTGTGTGGGCACCGAGGGGCCCCCCTGGCCCCGCTGGCCCGTGCAGACCTTCCTTCAGGCTGGCCCTGGCAGCGGCAGCCGCACCTGACGGCACCGTGTGGGCGAAGGAACCTGGGCTCGGGGAGGCGGACGGGGGCGGGGGCTCTGGGCACGAGCCTCCAGCCGCGCAAGGGGGCGCCTGCCGGGCCAAGGCTGCTGGGCTCCTCCGCTGCGGCCCTGTCCCCCCACAGGGCCGGCCCCGCTGGCACCCGCGCCATCAGATAGCGCCACTCCCCTGCGCGGGCTGGCGGGCCCTTCAAGTATCTTCTTGCATCCCGGAGAGTGATTAAAAAGTAATTAACCTAAATTTAGCCTGATTGTCATAAATAAATTAGCCACGTGAGTCACCTGCGATGAGCTGGTCCCTGCACGTTCGGCTGCCAGGTGAGCAGCTGGGGGTGCCCGCTGCTGGGGGCCGCCGAGCCTCGCACACCTGCCACTGGCTCGCCCTACCGGAGGTGACCCCAGCGGCTGCTGTGCCCAGCCTGGATGTGGCCCCCGCATGGAGTAGAGCCCCCCCACGGCCCGAGCGGGGGCACTGGGGTGTGGGCCCGGCCGGGCCTCGGGGTCTGGCCTTGAGGGCCCCACGTCCCGTCGGCGGGTCTAACCCGGTGTGTTTGGGGGGCTCCACACTGGGACACACCACGGAGCCCCCACCTCAGGGCTGAGGGCGCCCCCTTCCCAGTCCCCACCTGCGGCGGCCGGGCCTGGGTCTGGGCAGAGCGGCCCCAGCGGGTGTGGTGAGCACTGCTGCTCATACCTGCCCGGTGTCCGGTCCCCCCATTCTGGGCCACCACGTGTCCACGAGCTCGCGGCCGGGATGCCCGCCACAGCCTCCTGAGCGCCCTGAAGCTGCCGCCCTGTCCAGAAGGCCAGCTGTGGGGCCCGCGGGAGAGCTCGGGTGGAACGAGGGCGACGCGCCGGTCCTCCTCTGAGTTGGCGGAAGGGAGGGACACGCTAGATCAGAAACACAAGTGATAGCGGGTCGCCAGTGTGCAGCTTCCGATGGTAACTAATGAACGTGAAATATAACCCGATGACTAAAATGGAACTTGAAAATCTAGTTGTTTTTTTTTTTAAAGATTCATTTACTTATGCTACAAGAGCTGGGGTACAGTCCAGAGGTGCGGGGGTGAGAGGACTCCCCAGAGACAGAGCAGGGAGCAGAACAGGTGCAGGGAGCAGAACCCACTGCAGCGGGGAGACAGGAGGGGTCTGCTGCGCCGTGTGGGCAGCTCCCTGGCCGGCCAGGGATGGAACTCGTGCTGCAGAGGCTGCGGACAGCTTCGCAGTGCAGTGCTCAACCCCTGCGCCCCTGGGGAGGCCCCTTTTTTGTTTCCTTTTGCATTTTGAAAATAAATGACTGTCCAGCCCTCCACAAGCCCCCCACCACCCACCCACCAGGTCGGCTTCCACACACACTTGGGGTTCAGCGTTTGAAATCCACACGTTTGAGGACCCATCAGTAG